CACCTTATGTTGACCGCTTACATATACATACTGTAAACAGTGTTTCTTCCAGACTTTTTTCTCCGGCGGGGCACTTGAAATTTTCGGGGGGGGGGGGGGGGCGGTAGATTTTCTCCGGGGGGGGTGGGGCGGACACTGTTAGAAGTATATATTTTCTATATAGATTATATAAATTTCATTTCGTTCGGGGGGGGGGGGGGCGGGTAGAAAGTTTTCGGGGGGGGGGGGGGGGGGCTTTGCAGATGCCTGGAAGAAACTCTGACTGTAAATATTGTAAAAAATTATATAGAGCTTAAGTTCTAAACAAAATAGTTTGGTTGTTTTTTTTTTAGCATTATTAAGTTGAAAAACAAATACATAAGTAGCCACTGTAGATTGCAATACTTAATTGTCTTTTCATATTTTTCACGCTCTCCAAAAGGATTCTTAAATATTATTTTAAGCTTTAATCTATAACATTTATAACATTTTATGTTTAAAAAAACAAAAAAATCTTTACAGTGGCGGAATAGGGCCACCTCGCAAAATTTTTATGAGCCCCCCCAACTATATATATACAGGGCCGGAGCTACCTATAAAGCGCACTAGGCTGTCGCCTAGGGCGCTGTCAATAGGGGGGCGCAAAGAAATGTGAAATCGCCTTTATAAAAAGTACATAATAATTGATAAATTTGATTATATTAAATTAACTATATACAAAGGAGTAACGATCTATTTAGGTGCCCAGGACGGACTATCAATTTACGTCCCATCTTGCGTGTTGGTGAAAATGCGCCCCCACCTCCCACATTTGAAAAGGTCAAGGCGCTTTTTAACCAGTGTTTCTTCCAGACTTATCTCCGGGGGGATGGGTGGGGGGGGCACTTGAAATTTTTATGAGTGAGTGGGAGAGGGGAGGACTAAAATTTTCAGGGGGGGGCGGACACTGTTAAAAGTATATATTTTTTCTATAAATTCCATTTCGTTCGGGGAGGGGGGGGGGGGGGTTGAGATGTCTGGAAGAAAATCTGTTTTTAACAGTCACTTTGCCTTTTTATTTTGGTTTCACGCAATTGATGTAAAAAACAATTAGTCTGTAATGCAGGGTAACAGTCCACATTCTTTATTTCGACTGTATGTATTGATCTCTTTATATTATTGCCTATCACGGGGTGCCGATAAAACTAATGAAAATAGTTTTTTACTAAGTGAATTAAAACTAAAAATTCTTCTCCTAAGAATGTTTAAACTTAAGCGTCCTGATGAATGTCTAAGCTATAAAAAGGAGTTAATTTCAAATTAATTGTGTAAACGCAAAAAAAAAAAAAAAAAAAAAAAAAAAAAAAAAAAAACCGCGGGAAACAATTACACGTATAACGTTTTATTGATTCATGGTCTTTGATTGAGTCATGGTCTTTGACCAACTTGCTAAATAAATTAAGAAATCGCGGGGGGGGGGGGGGTAGGGGGGGAGCGTTTGAATAAGTTTTGTCTAAGGCGCTAAACAACCTGGCGCCGGCACTGAGCATGCTGAAATCGGAACCAACGGCGCATAACATATTGATACGAAAAACATAATCTGATCTTAATATTACAAAAAAAAAAAAAAAAAATAAATAAATAAATAAATAAAAAAAAAAAACAAAAAAAAAAAAACAATGCACTTATAGAATTGTGCTGCCTTGACTTATGATGATATGTTGAACTAGACATATTACATAAAAGACAGAAAGAACGAAACAAGTTTCAAAGACATTGTTAAATAATACCAAGTCTTATGGCGAAATAAAGAGACAAGCTACATAGACATGGTCACTACCAAAGCTTGCTTGAGCTCTCTGTATAGCACTTTTGTAGTCATACACGTACTGCATCGTCAGCTGGTAGATGGCTACAGGAAACACGGTCAGCATGAACTGGACGCTGGAGAGTACAGTCAGAAACATCAGCTGGCTACGAACTGAGGACGTTATAAGATATACCTGTTATACGGTGTAGTCATACATTGTGCAGTAATTTGTGTTAGTGATAGAGTGTGAGGTGGGGATGTGTGGTAGATCTCAGTGGCGTAGCGAGGTCGGGTGTCACCCAGTGCGGCACTTAATGGTGTCACCCCCCAGAGGCGTAGCGACCCTTCCCGGGGACAAATTTTCGATTTGCACTACCCCCTCAAATTTGCACTACACCCTCGAGTTTTCGATTTGCACCCCCCCCCCCTCTAACTTTCGATTTGCACCCCCCCCCACCCCAAGTTTTCGATTTGCAACCCCCACCTCAAGTTTTTTTCTATATATTTTGCTATTTTTTGCCTTGGTGTCGCCCCCCTAAATGGTGTCACCCGGTGCGGTCCGCCCCCGCCTCCCCCCCCTCCCTCGCTACGCCCCTGGTAGATCTATGTTCGGATGAGACATTCCTGTTATACGATGTAGTGATACATTTGTGCAGTAATTTGTGTTAGTGATATAGAGTGTGGGGTGGGAATGCGTGGTGGATATATGTTCATATGAGACATTCCTGTTATACGGTGTAGTGATACATTTGTGCAGTAATTTGTGTTAGTGATAGGGTGTGGGGTGGGAAGGCGTGGTTGAATGGTAGATCTAGGTTCAGACTTGTAAATGCAAAGGTCACAGAAACAGGTGAACTCTACTTCACTAGCCCCACGGACCGTTAGCTCAGAGACATGTTACTGAGAACGAGGCTAAATAGTCCCCAAATCAAAATTGTCAAAAACCATTACGCCCCCCAAATCACAATTGCCAAAAAACCGACACGCCCCCTAATGAAGATTTAAAAAAAACTGACACGCCCCCTAACGGAGATTTCCAAAAAACAAAACGCCCCCATCTATATATAATTATATATAATTCTCTTCTTGGAGACGCTAGAAAACAAGCTGTAAGCGCGCTCCCTACCACCCCCAACCCTACATGGTCTGGTGAGCTTTGGTTCACGCTAAATGTTTACAATCTTAGAGCCGGGTTTAGTGACGGCTACTAGGGGCAGATAATTTAGTTTAAAACGATTTTAAACTTAGGGGAGGTAACTAAGAGGAGGCTGCTTTCACCGGGGGGGGGGGTTAGGGTAGGGGTTGGGGGAAAGGAGGGTGGGGGTAGTATCGTCCTTAACGACCTACTGATAGTGTTTTAAAGCAAATATTTTCAGTGGCAGCATTGGTACTGTCGAATTCACAAATTATGAATTACTGAAAAGTAGAAAATAAAACAACTAAATAGCGGCGTATGATATCCCACGGGTCGGCTCGTAACGAAAATTTCTAAACACCGACACGACCTCAACTAAGAATTCCAAACATCGACACGCCCCCTAACGAAGATTTCCAAAAAAAAAAAAAAAAAAAAAATTAAAAAAAAAAAACAAAAAAAAAAAAAAAAAAAACGACACACTCCCAAAAGATTTCCAAAAAAAAGAAAGCCACGCCCACTAACCAACCTCTTGTGGTGACCTCAGTGTCCATCAACCCTGAGCCGGCCTTGGCATGCATCCAGTAAATGCCGAAGTTAAAGAAGAGCAGGAGCAGGGGCGGGGAGGAAGGCGAACACTATAACCAGGAAGTGAAACCACCTAGAGACTGTATTCATACGGCACTCGACCTCATCACTGGCGATAGAGAAGTTTTGTCAAACTATGGAATACCAAGTGTCAGAGTTGGTGAAAACTAGTATGGGATCTAAAAATCTATGGAAAGCCAATTTATCAATTTGAACGATTAGTCATTAAAATGTCAAGGTGTCAAGGTAGGAAAAAGTATGGATGAACTAAAAATTCTATGGAATGAAATTTTATAAAAGAATAAACATCATTAAAATATCAAAGTAGACGTTGAAAATTCGTATAAAATCTAAAATCTAAGAAATACCAATTAGTACCTGTTAATAAAAATGTAAAATAAAATTTATTACCACCTTTTGATGATAATACTTTTGGAAAGAAATAAGGCTCAAATGATAGTGTTTATTTCTTTTATCGATAGACGAAATCAAAGAATACTTATTTCTTCCGAATTCAGCTTGCATTTATAGGCAGTTATAAAATTCATGAACTTTCAGTTTGAAAGATTTTATAAAATAGTCAATTATTATAGCTTTCACGAGGGCTCCATGTTTGGAACAGAGGATAGTAAAAGTGTTTGAAGGGGCGGGGCAGGGGGTGTGGCCCCCACCGGGTGACACCATTTAGGTGGTTAGGTGATACCCAGACGAAAAATCGTAAAATTTACTGACAAATTAATAGTTTATCCAGTTAAAATAATAAAATAGTAGGGGGAGATGAGTGACACCAAATCCAGAGGCGTAGCGATGGGGGGGGGGGGGGGGGGCAGGGGGAGTACATATGTTCCCAGGGCGCCGACCCTAGGGGGCACCAAAATGGGGTGTAAAAACATATTAAAATGACATTTTAGCTGCATTTTTGCATTGTTAATAGTTTTAGGGGGGGGGGGTGCAAATCGAAAGTTTGAGGAGGGCGGTGCAAATCGAAAGTTTGAGGGGGGGGGGTGCAAATTAAAAGTTTGAAGGGGGGTGCAAATCAAAAGTTTGAGGGGGGGGATGCAAATTGAAAATTTGCTCCCGAGGGGGGCGCCAATTTGAATTTTTTTTCTCCGGGCGCCGGGAAGAGTCGCTACGCCTCTGACCAAATCTAAAAAAAATATGTTTGATATGTTTGGAGGAGGGGTAAGGTGACACCCATTTTATGAAAACCCATTTTATCATGACAATAGCTGATAAAAATCATGAAGGGGGAAGGGTAAGTATAGGTGAAATGAGGGTTAAAACACACTAAGCCAGGTCTACAATAATGCATAGCATGGACAAGATGAATAATACAAAAATAAAATAACGAAAAAACACGTTGGAAATAAATAGAACAGTTCGCAGTTTACCCGTCGTCATCAATGATTGTGAAAAGAAATACAAAAGTTCGCAGTTTACCCGTCGTCATCAATGCATGTGAAAAGAAATAGAAAAGTTCGCAGTTTACCCGTCGTCATCAATGCATGTGAAAAGAAATACAAAAGTTCGCAGTTTACCCGTCGTCATCAATGATTGTGAAAAGAAATATAAAAGTTCGCAGTTTACCCATCGTCATCAATGAACTGTAAGCCTCCTGAGAGAATGATGATGAGAAGAACACAGAAGAAACAGCTGAAGATGACTATGATGATAACAGGGTTCAACGAGGCTGTTAGTTTTCTCGTTCTGTGGACATTACAAGAGGGGCTTATTCAAAGTGGGGCTTATTCAAAGTGGGGCCTTCATCAAAGTGGGGCTTATTCAAAGTGGGGCTTATTCAAAGTGGGGCTTATTCAAAGTGGGGCCTTCATCAAAGTGGGGCTTATTCAAAGTGGGGCTTATTCAAAGTGGGGCTTATTCAAAGTGGGGCCTTCATCAAAGTGGGGCTTTATCTAAGTGGGGTTTTATCTAAGTGGGGCTTATTCAAAGTGGGGCTTATTCAAAATGGGGGCTTCATCAAAGTGGGGCTTTATCTAAGTGGGGCTTTATCTAAGTGGGGCTTATTCTAAGTGGGGCTTATTCAAACTTGGGCTTATTCAAACTGGGGCTTATTCAAAGTGGGGGCTTCATCAAAGTGGGGCTTTATCTAAGTGGGGCTTTATATAAATGGGGCTTTATCTAAGTGGGGCTTTATCTAAGTGGGGCTTTATCTAAGTTGGGCTTTATCTAAGTGGGGCTTTATCTAAGTGGGGCTTATTCAAAGCGGGGGCTTCATCAAATTGGGGTTTTAACCCAAATAGGGTTTTTATCAAAACGGTTGCTGTATCGACGTGGGACACTATCAAATAGGGGCTTTATCAAAAATAGGGCTTTACCTAAAAGTGGGGCTTCATCAATATAGGGTTATATCAAAATCGGACAATATTAAAGTGAGGACGTTTATATCTTTTGTACACAACTATTCCGTAATTTTTAAAGCAAGCTATTTTTATTTAAATAACTCCAATACCTGGGTATCAAGAAGAAATATCGGAATCCTGTAATGACGACTAGGTGCCAGTTAGTAATGGTGGTTAGCGTGTAAGTCATCCACCTAACAAATCTGTGGATAGTTAATCTGTGGATAGATTATCTAACTCTAGTCAATTTGAGGTTAGATAATCTTGTACTAGGCAGTCTGTGAATAGATGATCTTAGATTACCTAGCTCTAGGCAGTATGTGGATAGATTATCTAGCTGTAGATATATTATCTAGCTCTAGTCAATCTTTGGATATATTATCTAGCTCTATGCTGCATGTGGATAGATTATCTAGCCCTATTAGGGGCTATAGTTATATCGCATCATGTGATAAAGTTAACACATAATGTGATACCTTACACCTAACTTACACACATAGTGTGATACTGTACACCTAACTTACACACATAATGTGATACAGTTCACCTAACTTACACACATAATGTGATACTTTAAACCTAACTTACACACATAATGTGATACAGTTCACCTAACTTACACACATAATGTGATACTTTAAACCTAACTTACACGCATAATGTGATACAGTAAACCTAACTTACACACATAATGTTATACTGTAGATCTAACTTACATACATAATGTGATACTGTAAACCTAACTTACACACATAATGTGATACTTTAAACCTAACTTACACACATAATGTGATACAGTACACCTAACTTACACACATAATGTGATACTTTAAACCTAACATATATAATGTGATACAGTACACCTAACTTACACACATAATGTGATACCTTACACCTAACTTACACACATAATGTGATACTGTACACCTAACTTACACACATAATGTGATACTGTAGATGATCAACTCTGAGCCAGTCACGGCATGGGTGATGTTCCTGGCGAAGAAGATGACGAGAGAGATGATGTTGAAGCTGCACATACTGTTGAGGTAGATGCGGAAAGTTTTGTCTTTGTTCAACTGCCGTGACAAGACCTTCATGGTCAATATGTTACCTGTGTGAGACGAATATCATTCATGATTAATGGTACCCAGAGGCGAAGCTAGGGGGGGGGGGGGCGGGGGGATGCGGATCGCACAGGGTGACACCATTTAGGGGGGGGGGGGGTGACACGAAGGCAAAAAATAGCAAAATATATAGAGAAAAATGATAATTCCAATTAATTAAGTGATTAATTCGAGAGTTAAATAGTCTTTTAAGAGGTGCAAATTGAAAGTTTGAGGGGGGTGGGGGTGCAAATCGAAAGTTTGAAGGGGGTGGGGGAAAATTGAAAGTTTGTCCCCGGGAAGAGTCGCTACGACGGGGCTGGGGGTACTTAAAACTTTCAGGGGGTCGGGGTACTAATTTGTTTTTTTTTTGGGGGGGGGGGATGGGTCACTGGGACGAGTATATATTTCTATATAAATTGTTTTGTTCTGGTGGGGGAGGGGTCTTTTATGGTCAATATGTTACCTGTGTGATACAAATCTAACCCCCCCCCCACCCCCTCATCACACACCGTCATAAAATTACGGACCCTATTCCCCTACGAGTGTGACGTCATTCTCGGGGGGGGGGGGGTGGGGGATAGACACTGGTAAAAGTATATGATGCGAGTTTTTTTTTTCAAACGCTATTTACTTTCTCGTATACTGTGTATAGGAGAAGTATTGTAATCGTAGAAACCAATTAATAGTACAACTTTCTGAGACGGTACTACCTTGTTTAGCAATCTCATTTGTATGTCTGTATATATGTATATATATATATATATATATATATATATATATATATATATATATATATATAGCCTATACTTTTTTCCTTTGGTGGTGGTGGTGGGGGGATAAAACCCGGCACCACAAACACACAGACACCTACAGGCCTACTTACCTGGGATTCCTATAACTAGGAGAATAAGAGGCCCAACCACCAACAAGGTAGTGTCGTCTGCCATTAGCTGCTGCAGGATCTCTTCATCGTCTGGGGGTATGGTGGTTGTGTTTGTCTGGGCCCTTCCAGACATTTCTGGAGGGTAGGTGGGCTTTTCTCAACAGGGGGTAAAATGTATGTGCCTTCCTTAACACGGCCTGTGAATTGTAGAATTTGTGTGCAGTGTGCTTTCCTCAACAGTTTGTGAAACAAATGTGATTTCCTCAACGGTTTATAAAATGTATGTGCTTTCCTCAACACAGCCCGTGAAATCAATGTGCTTTCCTCAACACGGCCTATGAAGTCAATGCGCTTTCCTCAACACAGCCCGTGAAATCAATGTGCTTTCCTCAATAGTTTGTGAAATAAATACGCTTTCTTCAACTGCCTACATGATGTCTTGCGAAAGTTGAAGTCTTTTACACGGCTGAAAAATATCGAACCTGTTAGTTTCTCAAAAACTACTTTCCTGTTAACACTGGTATTAAAAACTTTACAAAACTAATTCCCCCTCCCCCACCCACACCCTCCAAGATTATCCAAGATTATCTCTAACCGAACTACAACACTCCCATCTATTTTGTCCAGATCCATGTCTTAATCTCTAGAAATGTCTTTAATTCTAGACAATGTCTTAATTTCTAGAAATGTCTTTAATTCTAGACAATGTCTTAATGTCTAGAAATGTCTTTAATTCTAGACAATGTCTTAATGTCTAGAAATGTCTTAAATTGAAGACAATGTCTTAAACTCTAGAAAATGTCTTAAACTATAGACGATTTCCTATACTAAACAATTTTTATATTCTACACAATGTCTTAAATTCTAGACATGGTCTTTATCTCTAGAAATTTCTTCAAATTGTAGACAATGTCTTAAACTCTAGAAAATGTCCTAACCTCTACATACTGTCTCCAACTCTAGACAATGTCTTAAACTCTAGACAATGTCCTAAACTCTACACAGTGTCTCCAACTCTAGGCAATATTTTAAACTACTGACACTATCGTAAACTCAAGTAAAATCTAAAATCTGATGTTCAGGCACTATCAAACACCAAAAGGACAGACAAATTGATCACGTGACATGCAATATAGACATCAAAAGGTCGAGTTTGAAGCGATTTATGGAATACTACAGAGGCGTAGCGACCCTTCCCGGCGCCCGGGAACAAACTTTCGATTTGCACCCCCCTCTTAAACTTTCAATTTTTTCTTCCAACGCCTCTGGACTACTATCATACTTTATCCCACTATCTCCCAGCTAAAACCTCCTACCCTAGACTAAAACCTGCTCAATATTATTAGTCCATCACAAATAACTATTTCTAACCTGAACTTTTGCTATTATATAACTATATACGATAGACACTGCATTAGTCCATCACAAATAACTATTTCTAAACCTATGATTAGCTATGAAATAAAATATAGATATTGCATTATTCTACCATCAATAACTATTTATAATCTTACCTTTTAGCTATTATATAGATAGACGATAGACATCATTCGAGAATAACATTCTGCGTTCTGTATCTACACTAGCTAAACACATTTATATTAACATTCTTTTTTTTTTCAAAATGTTAGAATACTTACGGAAGAATATTAAATATGCTGTAGAAATATAAGTTCAAGTTGGCTCAGATCTTTAACTAAATACATTATGTACAACTCCAAAGTTGCATTGGGGAAAATACACGAATCGTTGAGATGAGATGAGGTAAAATATGGAATGAAGTTTAGGATTGTTGAGTTAGATTGCGGACATTTTTAAACAGGAAGAGCTTATGAAAGGTTTGTATCCTGTTTGGTCATTGAATGAATGCGCACCGCAGCGTACTGAAAAGCACAATACACAACTCAAGTTAGGTGTTCTTTAATAGTGCTTGTAAGTCTCGGTCTCTCTCGCTTAAAATTGGAGATCTCGTTAGCAGAGGCGTAGCGAGGTGGGGGCGGGGCGGGGGGTGCGGACCGCACCGGGTGACGCCATTTAGGGGGGTGACACCAAGGCGAAAAATAGCAAAATATATAGAGAAAAACTTGAGGGGAGGGGGGTGCAAACCGAAAACTTGAGGGGCGGTGCAAATCGAAAGTTTGAGGGGGGGGGGGAATAAAAAATTTGAAAGTTTGTCCCCGGGAAGGGTCGGTACGCCTCTGAGGGGTGACACCATTAAGTGCCGCACCGGGTGACACCCGACCTCGCTACGCCACTGCTCGTTAGCCTGGTAGAGATACACATTTTTCACCTAAGTAATTGTTGTTAATATGATTCCCATTGATAAAAGAAACTTGGCGACTGTTTGTTTCTAAGCTTTGATTTAAGATTTTGAAATACCAAGAGTACCCGAAATACAACAATTATAATTTTTATACTAATAATATAATCAAATTTAGTACCGGTAGACCTATAGACTATTGATATTGTTTTAATATCTTAACTACGAATAGGACAACCGGTTTCGGATTCGAATAAATAATAACAAACTGTACACTTCTTAAAAATAAAATCACTATTTAAAGTAGTTTTTTTTTTTAAAGCTTGCCTACATCTTATAGTCTATCATTATCATTGTTTACGATTTTAAATAACTTAATAACAATAGGTAAAGTAGCTTTTTTCGTGACCGATTTTATAAATATATTCAAATTTGGTTTGAAAAAGACTAGCTGGCAAGTGTGAGAAGTGGGTGACCTACTTACAAGCCCTATTATAAGGTAGAAATTTAAAAAAATAAAATCGTGTGGAGTTGTGGCTTCTTTTATAGATGTGTGATTGGCTTTCGAACCTGGCGGCCCACGATGCAGCTGAAGTAGAGTTCACCTGTTACTGTGAACTCCGAATATGAAAAGGATTGTGTTGTCCACACAATGCTCAGCCGAAAGACAACAATGTGTTGGCTCAGGTATGACGTCATTTTAGATTTGATGGTCTGGATTTTGTGACGATGTGTGCTATTTTTCCTGTTTTAAAGCATGTAAGTGCATCTGTCGGATTTTAAAAATCCTCTTCGCACACAATTAAAAAAAGTTACCATCGTGCGCTGAAAACCTTCTACATGAAGACAAAAATAACTCAACTACTTTCTTTAAAATAAAAAGAATTCATACAGTTTTGTTAAACATATTCCCTTTACATATAATATTCCACACTGAAATCAGTTTAAAAAATCGTGCTTCTATCTGACGGAACTTTGTCTTTTGCTTGTACTTGTTCAGCATTTGTGAGTTCTTGCGTTGGCAACTTGCTTGGCGTGGTCGACTTTTGACTGTTGTTGGAGCGAATACTAGAGTTTTTCGAACCTGAACCTTCTTGATTGGAGTTCGTTTCCTCTACGAGGCCATTGGCAATTTTGGATAATTTACTCCGTAGGGGAGTCTCCCCCACCCCGGATTGTTTCCGGCGATCGGAAAACGAAAACCGGAATTTGAAAATCGATCTCCGTTGTTTCTGACCAGGTTGTCCAACCGACATGGAGACTCGTTTCTCGGGGGTCGGAATTTGTTCGACGGATTTCGTGTCTTCTGTGGGGATGGGGGGTTCGTCTGTTGAAAGCGGAACAAAACAGTCGACGTCAGATTCGGGACCCGTCAGGTCGTTGCCGTCGTAGAGGGAGGGGTGGTCGACGCAGGTCTCCCCAGAGACTTTAGTGCTGGCGCCGCTGACATTTTTCTCTCTGTAAGGTGCCAGCTGCAAGTCTGTTGCCGTCTGTGCAACTGTAACTGTAAGTCAGTGAAATGTCAGTGAACATTGTTACCAGCGATAGTGGATATCCGACAAATATATATATATATATATATATATATATATATATATATATATATATATATATATATATATATATATATATATATATATATATGTATATGTATATGTATATATATAAATATATATATATATATATATATATATATATATATATATATATATATATATATATATATATATGTATATGTATATGTATATATATATAAATAATATATATATATATATATATATATATATATATATATATATATATATATATATATATATATATATATATATATATATATATATATATATATATATGTATATATGTGTGTGTGTAAGTCTATATACATATGTATATATATATATATATATATATATATGTGTGTGTGTGTGTGTAAGTCTAACAAGTCTTTGATTATTTCCCGTATTATATCATAGGTAAGGGTCACCTATGTTAAATTGTACAAATGTTTTTCTCGGGCAAAAGAAAAATATATGCAAAACTGTGTTTGGCTAAATCTAGAAATGTGATGATTTATTTAGCTGTAGTAGGATGCTTGAGATATAGGCCTACTTTCACTAACAAGTAAAGTTTCCTCTCTAGCGTGACTCCAGAGGGCAGATGAAGTAGAGTTCGCCTGTTTAGGTGACCTTCGTATATGAAGGGATAGTTTGGTCAGCCCTATGCTCAGGCACCTTTACGTTGACAAGGGACCTATCAGAATTGTATGGATTCAGTGAGGCTCCGCTGGCACAAACCCGGGATTCGAACTCAAGACTTTTGAATTAGCAGTCGTACGGTCTACCACCCGACCACGACGTACCGACAAGCGGAGAGACGCAAGAGCAGATTCTAGTGAAATCTTTTCCAAATCAACACGCCAAAAAAAATAAACCTGGGTCATTAATTACGTTTGGAACTGGACGCCTCCAATTCCACTTCGTCCATCCGTCTCTGGATAGACTCGAACACGCACGCTGGACAGAAGCACCTCAGCCAGAATTGGTTGGTGGTCCAGAATTCCTTGCGGAACTTCCGACCGAAGAAGCAGTAGATGAGGAAGTTACTGGCGTTGTTGAAGAGGAGGATGATGGCCGTTATGTAGTACACTGAAAGTAGGTCACGATGATGGTTGTTATGTGTACACTGAAAGTAGGTCAGGATGATGGCCGTTGTGTAGTATACTGAAGGTCGGTCAGGACGATGGCTGTTATGTAGTACACTGAAAGTAGGTCAGGATGGTGGGCGTTATGTAGAACACTGAAAGTAGGTCAGGATGGTGGGCGTTATGTAGTACACTGAAAGTAGGTCAGGATGATGGCCGTATGTAGTACACTGAAAGTAGGTCAAGATTGGCCGTAATGTAGTACACTGAAAGTAGGTCAGGATGGTGGGCGTTATGTAGTACACTGAAAGTAGGTCAGGATGGTGGGCGTTATGTAGTACACTGAAAGAAGTTCAGGATGGTGGGCGTTATGTAGTATACTGAAAGTTGGTCAGGATGGTGGGTGATATATATTGCTGTGAAAGTAGGGGAGTATGGTGGTTATATAGCACACTTAAAGTAGGTTACGGGGATGGCCGTTATGTATTAAACTGAAAGTAGGTCAGCACGGTAGGCGTTATATAGGTCAGGTGTGGCCGTAGTGTAGTACACTTAAAGTAGGTCAGAGGTGTGGCCGTTATATAGTGCACTGAAAGTAGGTTAGGGTGGTGGTCGTTATATAATGATTTAAAAGTAGGTCAGAAGTATGGCCATAATGTAGTATCATGAAAGTAGGTCAGGATGATGGCCGTTATTTAGGACACTGAATGTCGGTCATTATATAAATAATAATATATAATAAAGATATAATAAGAAATTAGTACATAATAAGATAATATCTTATTATAATATGTTATCACAAAGCGCACAGTCAATTTATGAATATTAGTTCAGCATCAACAATCATTGACAACAGTTGAGGATCAACTAGATTTCAAATGGGATTAGGCTGAACCAGTGGCGTAGCCAGGATCGTCTCAAGGGGGGGTTCCAATTTTTTACCCGGGGACAAACTTTCGATTTGCACCCCCCCCCTCAAACTTTCGATTTGCACCCCCCCTCAAACTTTCGATTTGCACCCCCCCTCAAACTTTCGATTTGCACCCCCCCCCTCATACTTTTTATATATACCGAGGGGTCTATGGGGGGGGGGTTATGACCCCCCCCTAACCCCCCCTGCCTACGCCACTGGGCTGAACATTTAACTAGATATTAATATGATCCTGCTGGAAATAATCTAGGATTAATTGGGCGTTAGCTAGGCATTAAATTACCATTCATTGGACAATAATTGTAGACTAGGTTGACACTAACTAGACATTAAGTATACACCAGCTAAGTATTAACAAGATATTACGTGTACGTACATCAATAAGGTCTAACTGGACATTAACTAAAAAATAAACTGTACACCAACTGGAAATTAAATGTACATAAACAGGAAATTAACTAAACATAACTGTACACCAACTAGAAATTAAATGTATACTAACCTGACAATAACTACACGTTAACTGTACACGAACAGGAGACAAACTGGATATTAACTTAACATTAAATGTACACCAACAGGAGATTAACTGGACATTAACTTAACATAAACTGTACACCAACAGTAGATTAACTGGACATTAACTTAACATAAACTGTTCACGAACAGGAGTTTACTGGACATAAACTGTAGGCGAACAGGAGACAAACTGGACATTAACTTAAAATTAAATGTACACCAACAGGAGATTAACTGGACATTAACTTAACATAAACTGTTCACGAACAGGAGTTTACTGGACATAAACTGTAGGTGAACAGGAGACAAACTGGACATTAACTTAACATTAAATGTACACCAACAGGAGATTAACTGGACATTAACTTAACATAAACTGTTCACGAACAGGAGTTTACTGGACATAAACTGTAGGCGAACAGGAGACAAACTGGACATTAACTAAACATTAACTGAACACCAACAGGAAATTAAATGTACACAAACTGGACATTAACTTAACATAAACTGCACACGAACAGAGGATTAACTGGACATGTACCCATGTTAGCCTTGGCTAATCCCACGTGGGTGTTGGTGTCGAAGAAGAGCTTCTGGTTGAGCAGGTATATGGTGATGGGGAAGGCTGTGACGATAAACTGGGTGCTAGACAGGAATCCCAGAAACAGGAGCTGTTGCCGGGCTGTGGGATACAGAGCAGCACGTGAGACACAATGGGGTTAGCCGTACACATGTTATCTAAAATATGAGTGTTGATGTAATGAGATAATTTATATAGAATAATTATTAGGTGCAATTGTGCAATTCCTTGAACGAAATATGAGTATTGATGTAATGAGATAATTTATATAGAATAATTATTAGGTGCAATTGTGCAATTCCTTGAACGAAATATGAGTATTGATGTAATGAGATAATTTATATAGAATAATTATTAGGTGCAATTGTGCAATTCCTTGAACGAAATATGAGTATTGATGTAATGAGATAATTTATATAGAATAATTATTAGGTGCAATTGTGCAATTCCTTGAACGAAATATGAGTATTGATGTAATGAGATAATTTATATAGAATAATTATTAGGTGCAATTGTGCCATTCCTTGAACGAAATATATGTAGCAAGGAAATCTTCAGTAGGCTGCAACATAACTTTGGTTACTAAAGCGGCCGAAAAATAAACAGCGTTGGTTTCTTCTTTTGTTTCTTCTTCTTTGTTCTTAATTATAATGATCAACTAGATTTCTCCAACCTAATTAAGTATCATTGGTCAATTTTTTATGCTCCTTATAACTCATGGACACCGATTTTAGCATGCTTTACGTTGTGGATTTCCTTCCATACCATTTGTCTATCATAAAACAAAATAATTGTCAGCAGTTGTTTGATTTTATAGTTTTATCTCCTAGATAGGTTGCTAGATTGTCTAGGGTTTTGAACTCAGGACTCATCGATTAGCAGCGATAAGCTTTACTAACCCAACCACGCCGACCCCACTCCTGTTTAATTGTGTAGTTGTCTCTGCTAGAACTGTTGCTGTCTCTGTTAACGTGCTTCCTTTGTGTAACCATCAGCTCTCTCACCAAAAGATGCAGGACCAAAGGCCAACATACTTTTGTTTCGTCAGCCTTTTATGTTGTCGGCCTTTTGGATGTCGGCCTTTCAGCAGTCGGCCTTTTGTTTTGTCGGCCTTTTTGCAATCGATCTTTTGTCATGTCGGCCTTTTGCCTTGTCGGCCTTTTGGATGTCGGCCTTTTAGCAGTCGGCCTTTTGTCTTATGGCCTTTTGTCTTGTCGGCCTTTTGGATGTCGGCCTTTTAGTAGTCGGCCTTTTGTCTTTTCGGCCTTTTGTCGTGTCGGCCTTTTGGATGTCGGCCTTTTAGCAGTCGGCCTTTTGTCTTGTCGGCCTTTTGTCTTGTCGGGCTTTAGGATGTCGGCCTTTTGTCTTGTCGGCCTTTTGTGCTGTCGGCCTTTTGTCTTGTTGGCCTTTTGTGTTGTCGGCCTTTTGGATGTCGGCCTTTTGTGTTGTCTGCCTTTTAGCAGTGGGCCTTTTGTCGGCCTTTTGTCCGGATCCCCTCATCAAATACCACCAAAATTCACAATATTAACCTTTGTTAAAACAGAATCACATCACCAGCGTTAAAAACATCGTGCCAAACAAAAACTCAAACCTCTGATAGTGGACTTGACCTCGATCTGGCTGGAACTCTTGTAGCGGTAGAGGCAGAAGGTGGCGATGTTGAGAACCAGTAGCACGAAGGCCGGCATGAAGGCGTAGAAGGATGCGATGATCATGGCGGAGATGGTTGTTTCGTCCATGTAGCACTCTGTTGTATCACTGAAGGATAGACACATTGATTCACTCTAGGATAGACATATTGATGCACTCTAGGATAGACGTATTGATTCACTCTAGGATAGACACATTGATGCACTCTAGGATAGACACATTGATGCACTCTAGGATAGACACATTGATGCACTCTAGGATAAACACATTGATTCACTCTAGGGTAGACGTATTGATTCACTCTAGGATAGACACATTGATTCACTCTAGGATAGACGTATTGATTCACTCTAGGATAGACACATTGATGCACTCTAGGATAGACACATTGATGCACTCTAGGATAGACGAATTGATTCACTCTAGGATAGACACATTGATGCACTCTAGGATAGACGTATTGATTCACTCTAGGATAGACACATTGATTCACTCTAGGATAGACGTATTGATTCACTCTAGGATAGACACATTGATTCACTCTAGGATAGACGAATTGATTCACTCTAGGATAGACACATTGATGCACTCTAGGATAGACGTATTGATTCACTCTAGGATAGACACATTGATTCACTCTAGGATAGACACATTGATGCACTATATCAGGGGTCCCCTCATCCGGCCCGCGGAGATATTTTTTCCAAGGAAAAATTGTTTGTCGGTGATTGCTGAGGAACTTTGCCCAGAAAAATCAAAGACATGCCTGCAAAAAACTGGCCCCCAAACTGAAATTTGATAGTTAATGCGGCCCTCGGACTCAAAAGTTTGGAGACCCCTTCACTATATGATTGATACATTGATTCACTAAATGATAGACACATTAATTCACTAAATGATAGACACATTAATTCACTAAATGATAGACATATCGATTCACTCTAGGATAGACATATTGATTCACTAAATGATAGACATATTAATTCACTAAATGATAGACATATTGATTCACTAAATGATAGACACATTGATTTACTAAATGATAGACATATTGATTCACTAAATGATAGACACATTAATTCACTAAATGATAGACACATTGATTCGCTAAATGATAGACACATTGATTCACTAAATGATAAACACATTGATTCACATATATAAAGACACCACATTGATTCACTAAATGATAGACATATGGATTCACTAAATGATAGACACATTGCTTCACTAAATGATAGACACATTGCTTCACTAAATGATAGACACATTGATTCACTAAATGATAGACACATTGATTCACTAAATGATAAACACATTGATTCACATATATAAAGACACCACATTGATTCACTAAATGATAGACACATGGATTCACTAAATGATAGACACATTGCTTCACTAAATGATAGACACATTGCTTCACTAAATGATAGACACGTTGATTCACTAAATGATAAACCCATTGATTTACATATATAAAGACACCAAATTGATTCACTAAATGATAGACACATGAATTCACTAAATGATAGACACATTGATTCACTAAATGATAGACACATTAATTCACTAAATGATAGACACATTGATTCTCTAATATATAGACACAGTGATTCACTAAATGATGGACACATTGATTCACTCTAGGATAGATACATTGATTCTCTAAATGATAGACACATTAATTCACTAAATGATAGACACATTGATCTACTTAAATATAGACACATTGATTCACTCAAATATAGACAGATTTATCTACTAGCCTCCATCTGGCTACTTACCTATCCTCTATCTGAACTATTTACCTAGCCTATATCTTGACCTTTTACCTAGCCTCTATCTTGACCTTTACCTAGCCTATATGTTGACCTTTTACCTAACCTATACCTTGACCTTTTTCCTAACTTATACCTTGACCATTTCCTAACTTATACCTTTACCTTTTCCCTAACCTATACCTTGACCTTCTAATTAACCTATACCTTGACCTTTGACACAGCTTTCACCTGCCTCTACTTACCCACTATCGTTTGTATATCGCACACAGAAATGCAAGCAGATGATGATGAAGGCAGAGCATACGACACAGAAGGCGATGATGACGATTATTGGGTGTGTTGCAGTCACAAGTCGTTTGGTCCTATTGTTAGAAAACAAAGTAATAGAATAAACTAGTTTATAGGATACGAGCTGTGATTCAAGAGCTGTGATTCAAAATATTTTGTTTTAAAATACTATCAGTAGCTCGTGAAGAACGATTATATATACGAGCCGACCCGCGGCGTATCATACGCCGCTGTTTATTAGTTGTTTTTTCTACTTTTCAGTGATTCATAATTTGTGAATTCGACAGTACCAATGCTGCCACTGAAAATATTTGCTTTGAAGCACTATCAGTAGGTCGTTAAGGACGATACTACCCCCACCCTTCACCCCCCCCCCCCCCCGTGAAAGCAGCCTCCTCTTAGTTACCTCCCCTAAGTTTAAAATCGTTTCAAACTAAATTATCTACCCCTAATAGCCGTCACTAAACCCGGCTCTACGATTGTAATCTTTTAGCGTGAACCACAGCTCACCAGACCATGTGGGGGTGGGGGTGGTAGCGATATGCCTAGAGAGGAAGAGAGGGGGCTGCTAGGGGGCGCGCTTACAGCTTGGTGTTTTCTAGGGTATCGTAAAAGATAATTATATATAGATTATTTAATAAAAAAAAAAAAAAAAATTAACAATTTATTTTTAAAAATGATTAAAGAGGACGTCGTACAAACTCAAGAGCTGAGATCCGAACTCGAGTCTTTCGTGTTACAAGCCGAACGCTCTACCAATTGACCGCTTTATCCCACGTATGCAGCAATAACCTGTTGACCTACCTGTCAATCAAATAGAGCAAACGGCACACAGTGATCATGACCAAATGCCAGGTACTAATGCTCATCAAAGTGCAGGTAATCCATTTGGTGAACCTAAGAACAAGTTAAAGTTAGAGGTACGAGTTATCGTTTCTGAGATCGTGAATTATCAAATGATTTTTGCCAGAAAGCACATTTTTCAACCAAAATTTAATATTTCATAACATTTAGAAACAAGTACAAAAAGACAAAATGGGACGGAGTGGTCTAGCGGTAGAGAGCTGGACTGCTAACCCGTTCGAGTTCAAATCCGGGTTCAAGTCAGTAGACAGTCCCTGAGTCCACCCAACTATGATGGGTACCTAACTCAAGTTAGGGAAAGTAAAGGCAGCTGGGCATTGTGCTGATCACACTATCTCTTCATATGCCGAGGTCACAGAAACAAGTGAACTCTACTTCACTTGCCACATAGACCGTCAGGTTTGAAAGGGAAAGGAAACTTTACTTTACTTTTTTACAAAATGACTTCCGGTTTTATTAAGGCTCGAAATATTACTATTAATATAATGGTAATTTAGCTAACATTTTTATTTTTAAATTGGATTAGTAGATTTAAGGTGTTGTGTTGATATGGGATGTTATATTATTTAATGTAAATAAACTTTTAGGTTAACTCCCAATGACCACAAATGTGTTTTTTATCATGGAAAACAAATGTAGTGACTTTCATTGTTTACTTTCCTTGGTCACTCCAGTTGATTCAAAGAAGGGTTGTCGGATTTTTAAAAAAAAATATTTGATATCTAAACAGCTTTTCAACGGCGTATATTTAGGGGTCATCCATAAATGATGTCACGCTTTTTTGGACGATTTTTGCCTCCCCCCTCCCCTCCGTCACACATCGTCACAAAAAGCCAGACCCCACCTAAAATGACGTCACACCTCAGCCTACAACCCCCCCCCCCCACCCCCTCAAAATTGCAGTTGAATTTTTTTTAAACATTGATATTTTTCCAAAATCTTGTCTGAACTCGGTCAAAATAGAGTATTTTAATCAATTCGTATTTTTTTCTAAAACAAAATAACGTCTAAAATTTGTTTTCTAACATTGCTTTTTTATAATGCAAAAGTGTAACATCGCACCATCTAACCCCCCCCCCCCCCCACACCCCCTCCCTCTCATCACACACCTTCACAAAATTACGGACCCCACTCCCCCCCTACAAGTGTGACGTCATTTATGGACGACCCCTTAATACAAACATACAAGAATGAGTGTAACCAATCGTTCCCAAGCAGATTTAATATTTTAAAATGTAACTGTAATTGTATCGCTTGCCATATTAAAAAATATTTTAAAAAATAGTATGATACATAGATTTTTCAAGCTTATTACTCTGATCTGATGTAATAGTATTGAATTATGTCATGTTGGTTGTTCAAGGTAACGGAGAGGATAGGTCTACTACATGATGTGCAATGTCGATGTTGTACTTTGGGGGCTACTAAAGAAATACAGTTTCCTTTCTAACCTGACGGTCCATGGGGCAAGTGAGGTAGAGTTCGTCTGTTTATGTGCCATCGATATGTAGAGTGATAGTGTGGCCAGCACTATGTCCAACTGACTTTACTTTCCCAAACGTGAGTCAGGTACCCATCAGAGCTGGGTGGACCCAGGGACGTCTACGTGCATGGGATCTGAACTCGAGTCTTTTGGATTGGCAGTCGTATGCTCTACCATTCGACCACGACCGTTTTCTTCGTGTATAAAGAGGTAATGTGGTTGACACTAAACTATCAAACAACTTTTACTACGGCTTTTGTGGGAAATAGGTTCAAGGCTTCAATTCTTAGCTTTAGCAACCAATGCTATTATTAAATCATTTTATTTAAATGCTTTTATTTAAACAAGTGTTATATTTTCTAATTTTAAACTCATTTCAAAACTTTATAATTATTTTTTTTTTTAAATTACACCATCATAAGCAAACAATGCAAATATTTAGAACATGGACAGGATCGAGTTCACGTAATCGATTACCTACAGGCAAATTCTCGGTGTATAGTAAACAAACTCGGATCCCGTTATCGAGAGTGTGATCATTCTGATTGCCGACATGATGAGGATGATGATGTTAAACATACACATGCTCACTAGGTAGTCGCTGAATAGGTTGTCTTTCATTTTGGACCTGACTAGCGTCAGAATAGTCAATATATTACCTAATCAGAGATGAAGAATTCATTTACACAAATGTCGTATATAATTTGACAAGATGTAACCAGAGGCGTAGCGAGGGGGCGGGGGGCGGGGGGTTACATATGTCCCCGTGCGCCGACCTGAGGGGGCGCCAAAATGGGTTTGAAAAAAGAAATTAAAATCTTATTTTAGCTGCATTTTTGTTTTATAAATATAAAAAAAAATATATGAGACGGGGGGTGGGGTGCTAATCGAAAGTTAGAGGGGTGGGGGTGCAAATCGAAAGTTTGAGGGGGGTACAAATCGAAAGTTGAAAGGTTGGTCCCCAGGGGGGGGGGGGTGGGGCGCCAAATTGAAAGTTTGTCCCCGGGCGCCGGGAAGGGTCGCTACGCCTATGGATGTAACTGGAATAAAAAAACACAATTAGGTTCATAATAATAAAGATAAAAAAAACAACCACTTATTATTATGGTAAAAGTAATCTGGGGACAGTGTGGTCAAGGGGTAAAGCCCCAGACTGCTGACCCGAAAGTCTCGAGTTCAAACCCGGGCTCGAGTCTGTAGGACGTCCCTGAGTCCACTCAGCTCTGATGGGTACATGACTCACGTTAGGGAAACAAAGGCAGCTGGCCATAGTGCTGACTACACTATCCCTTCATTTGCCAAGATCACTGAAACCCTAAAAGCACCCACCGTGAAAAAAAAAAGAACGGACCACCGACATTATATCCCTAACCAAAAAAAGCACCCACCGTGAAAAAAAAAAGAACGGACCACTGACATTATATCCCTAACCAAAAAAAGCACCCACTGTGAAAAAAAAAAGAACGGACCACCGACATTATATCCCTAACCCTAAAAGCACCCACCGTGAAAAAAAAAAGAACGGACCACCGACATTATATCCCTAACCCTAAAAGCACCCACCGTGAAAAAAAAAGAACGGACCACCGACATTATATCCCTAACCAAAAAAAGCACCCACCGTGAAAAAAAAAGAACGGACCACCGACATTATATCCCTAACCCTAAAAGCACCCACCGTGAAAAAAAAAGAACGGACCACCGACATTATATCCCTAACCAAAAAAAGCACCCACCCGGCACCCCTATCACCATGAGCAGCAGGAACCCCGACAACACGATGATCATCTGTGCGTAGAAAATCTTCTGCATGGTTACCAGATCCTGTGGGGTGGGGCTGGGCATCTTAGTGTGACCCACGGCTACAATTTGTGCTCCGTCCATCGTGCCAGGGGGTCGGTCGTCAGGGCCAATGTCTAGGGGGGGGAGGGGGGGAGTGCATGTTGTTTGGATTATAATCAGAAACTTTGTAATCGTAATCGTAATTTTAAGTGTAGTCATAACGTAATCATACTAATAGAAGTAATCGATATTGATATCGTATTCGTAAGCACACTCATATTCATGCTCATGTTCATGCACATGTTCATACCCATAACCATAACCATTACCATACCCATAACCATACCCATAACCATGCCCATAACCATAACCATAACAATAACCATGACCATAACCATAACCATAACCATAACCATAACCATAACCATAACCATAACCATAACCATAACCATGACCATGACCATAACCATAACCATAACCATAACCATAACCATAACCATAACCATAACCATAACCATAACCATAACCATAACCATTACCTAACCATAACCATAAACATAACCATAACCATTACCTAACCATAACCATAACCATACCCTAACCATAACCATAGCCATAGCCATAGCCATAGCCATAACCATAACCATAACCATAACCATAACCATAACCATAACCATAACCATAACCATAACCATAACCATAACCATAACCATAACCATAACCATAACCATAACCATAACCATAACCATAACCATAACCATAACCATAAACATAACCATAACCATACCCTAACCTTAACCCTAACCCTAACCATAACCATAACCATAACCATAACCGTAACCGTAACCGTTACCGTAACCGTAACCATAACCATAACCATAACCATAACCATAACCATAACCATACCCATGCCCACACTCACAATCAGTCATAATCACAATCATAATCACAATCATAATCACAATCATAATCACAATCATAATCATAGTCACAATCATAATCACAATCATAATCACAATCATAGTCACAATCATAATCACAATCATAATCACAATCCCAGTCGTGATCGCAGTCACAGTCGCAATCGTAATCATAATATTAAAATAAAATGATAAACAATCGACATACCTTGATCAGAATCCCGAAATGTGTAAGGTGTTTTTATGCAATCCTCTAAGTTAGCGTAGTTACACTCAGTTTAACGGGTTTAACTTTAGACCCTTGATCGGGTTTAACTATTATCGTAAAAAAATCGAACCCTAACAGATAAAACAAAGGTTCGATACCTAACTATTGAATCTTAAAGAGTTTTCTAGACGATTCTGCCTGTATTGTATTTTTTAAATAGAATATCTACTTCGTTTTATTGTTTACATTTACAAGGAAATACATTCACCATTGGGGATAACTCACTTTCTAAGCCCCACTAACTATTTTAAAAACAAACAGATGAAGACAACTTCAAAGGCTACAGTTCCCGTTTTTCAACGATCAGAGTCATAGCAGTTTCAATGACAGAATACAATGAACTATTAAAATGTGGGGATGAATTACCCTGTAAAACATCTAAAGCACGGAGAAAAACCGGAAGTATGACTAGGGCGCCATGATTTTGAGTAGAAACGGAAGTGGATAGAAAAAGATTCGCCATTTAAAAAGAAGTTGAGAAGAATAAAGAAAAAACAAATTAAAAATGAAATAATAATGCGAATGTATAAAAATCAATTGACTTAAGTCAACTTGTGATTTTAAAATGTAGCTATAAAAATATTGCATTGGATTTTGAATAAAAAAGTTACTAAACCTAAACATTACAAAGAACCAATTTAAGACATTAATTATATAAATGGGTAGGGAGTATTAATTACAGAGTGTTTTAATGAATACTTGAGAAATATTTTCAAGAATAATGCACAGCAGCTAGAGTATTTTCGGAGCTTCCTTAGGAGATTTTCCAAATATATTTTAACAAGATATAAAAATAAAATATTTACAATAAGTATCTTATTAAAAACAAAGTAATGTCATTCTTCCAGTTGTATCGTGTTCTTTTTTTAGACTTTGGTGGAGGTGGGGATTTGATCTCATAGCACAAGTTGTTGAAAATCTCTATTTCCGTAGATTCACTTGAAACAGCAAAATCATACTCTGATCAGCCCATGCCAAGCATACAAACATACAAACATACAAACATACAAACATACAAACATACAAACATACAAACATACAAACATACAAACATACAAACATACAAACATACAAACATACAAACATACAAACATACAAACATACAAACATACAAACATACAAACATACAAACATACAAACATACAAACATACAAACATACAAACATACAAACATACAAACATACAAACAGTCTATTGCGAGTTGACTGAGGTTGGTGTGGAGGGGGGGGGGGGGAGGCGGTAGGATGCTTTGATGAATCAAAGACCTGATAAGACGGTCTTTTAACATGGTCTTTTCTTGAGACGTTTATTTATGTTTGAAATGAAGCTACACATTTATATATGTGTTGTTGTGTATATATATATATATATATATATATATATATATATATATGTGTGTGTGTGTTTATGTGTGTACGGAGGTGTGTAAGAGGACTATGTCTGTGTGGTTTTTGTGTGCGCGTGGGTGTGGAAGGGGCATTTGGATAAAGTCTGAGAAGACTTCATTATGTATGAAATGAAAGATTTGAATTCTAACTCAAATCATGACTGGATTCGCGTATCTATTGTTTTTTTTTTTTTTTTTTTGCTGCTCTTTTCACACACACACCCGAAAGAATACATAACTCATATAAAGACGCAAAATAATTCAAATTGAGAATTAATTTAATAACATTTTTAATACATTGTTTATTCAGTAATACATTTTTGTTTCGTAAACCTCGTTTGTACGAATTTGTCAGCACGTATTAAAACAAAGACACAATAACACAAACTAGTAATAAGCGCATCTGTTCATTGCACCGCTCGTGAATGTCGTTTGTAATAATTCGTCAGCATAGTTTAAAATGAAAGGGACACAATGACACAATAACACAAACTAGTAATAAGAGCATCTATTCATTGCATTGTTCGTAACTTTGTTTGTAAGAATTTATCAGCAGATATTAAAACAATGTCGGAATAACACAAGCAAGTAATGAGCGTAATGTTCGGATGCTTCGTTTAGATACAAAAACCAAAATCTCAACCCAATGTCTTTCTCAAGCTTTGAGCGATCGCTTTTGTCCTATACGAGAATGTTTTGTTATTGCCTCAAGTTTTGAGCGATGGCTTTTATCCAGTGGCGTAGCGAGGTCGGGTGTCACCCGGTGTGCTACTTAATGGTGTCACCCCCCCCCCCCCAGAGGCGTAGCGACCCTTCCCGCCCGCCCGGGGACAAATTTTCGATTTGTTTGCACCCCTCCCCCCTCAAATTTTCGATGTGCACCCCCTCCCCTCAAACTTTCGATTTGCACCCCCCCCCCTCCCTCAAACTTTCGAATTGCACCCCCTCCCCCCCTTCAAATTTTTCTGTATAATATTTTGCTATTTTTTGCCTTGGTGTCACCCCCCTAAATGGTGGCTGTCACCCGGTGCGATCCACACCCCCCGCCCCCCCCCCCCCCCTCGCTACGCCTCTGCTTTTGTCCTATACAGGCGTATTCTTGTGCTTGACTTCAATGGCGACGGTGTACCTGCTCTTCTTGGGAGCCCGCCAGTCTAACGCAGTGGTTTCATCTGATGACGCACTGGTTCCTCTGGGCTTATGCGAGTGCTCATGGCCTGTGAAACGAATAAATAATGTCAAGTTGACCATTCGTTTAAAGTACATTGTCATTTAGCCGTGAGAGTGAAAAACTTTATTTAAAATTAAAAAAAAAAATAATTTTGGGGTATGATATAAATGGGTCCGGGTTCCAATCTTAGAGCGTCTCTTAGAGTCCACTCAGCTCTGATTGGTACCTAACCCACGTCAGGGAGTAATGTCGACTAGAGTTAGTAACAGTGTTTCTTCCAGACTTTTTTTTTCTCCGGAGGGGGGGGGGGGGCACTTAAAATTTTCGGGGGGGTGGCGGTAGACTTTCTTCGGTGGGGCGGACACTGTTAAAAGTATATATTTTCTATATAAATTATATAAATTTCATTTCGTTCGGGGGGACGGTAGAATTTTTTCGGGGGGGGGGGGGGGGGGACGGACTTTGCCCCCCCCCCCCCCGAAGAGATGCCTGGAAGAAACTCTGGTTAGTACTTAGCACACTATCCCTTCAGAAGCGGGTGGGGGGGGGGGGAAGAGAAGAGGACATCGAAACAGGTGAACTAATCGTTGTCTACCCAATAGACCTCGAACTTTGATAGGGAAACTTTACTTTACTTAAATATTTATCTATATATATATATATTATATATATATATATATATATATATATATATATATATATATATATATATATATATATATAACAAATATAACAAAACATATATAACAAATGTGAAGTTGTATAGATACCTCCATGTTTTTTCAGTGCTGTGTAATTAGGAGCTGAAAAATTCCAATAGAGGACGTTATGCATACAAGCCACCAGTGAAGCCTTACGTATGGGGTACATAACGAACTTCATATGCTTGCGAAACTTGCCGCCAAACAGGCAGAAGAGCAGGTAGCTGGTGGCGTTGTTGAAGTAGAGCAACAGGTAGGTGATGTTGAAACCTGATGGTAGATTGTTCAGGTGTGGGGTATTTTTGATAATAGGGGTGGGTGTTGGATAAAACATATGATGAAGGTCAGATGTGAGTAGTTTGTATAAGTGAAAATGAAGCACAATAAGAAGAAGGTTTTATTAAGGGGGAAGGCTCCGGTAAAAAAAAAAAAAAACTTTTTTAATACTCGTGCCCCAAAATATGGAAGAAGATTATGGATTGATTATTTATTGGGCTTAAATTGTAATATTTTATGAATTGTGGAAAACCTACGAAGGGGTTAATTTTTAAAGATGGCCGCCGTTGTCATAGTTACCAAGATTTTTCCACCAATTGTTTTTAGTGGAAATCTATATGCTGATGTATCTTAATAAAGCTGTAAAGAAATAACTGTTTTCTAACGAGTATTAAAAAAGTTTTTTTTTTTACCGGAGCCTTCCCCCATAAAGGAATAGCAAAATAGTTATAGTTATTCCAACGCCAGATGTAGATATAGGTACATAACATAGTGCCAGAAAAATATTTATCTGTTAAATTTAGACATAGGTGGTATGGACATGATATATAGATTAGCGAAAGAGGAGAGTTGGCTTATGGTAAGGGTGAGGAGCAGTGGAGTAGCGAGGTCGGGTGTCACTTAATGGTGTCACCCCCCCCCCCCCCCCCCCCAGAGGCGTAGCGACCCTTCCCGGGACAATCTTTCAATTTTCGAATTGCACCCACCCCTCAAACTTTCGATTTGCACCACACCCTCAAACTTTCGATTTCATTTGCACCCCCCCCCCCAACTTCCGATTTGCATCCCCCTCCCTTCGATTTTCACCTCTTAAAACACTATTAAACACTCGTATTAATCACTTAATTAAGTGGAATTACCATTTTCCCCTATATATTTTGCTATTTTTTTGCCTTGGTGTCACCCCCCCCCCCCTCTAAATGGTGTCAGCCCCCCCCCCCCCCCCCCATCGCTACGCCTCTGGTGAGGAGTGAGTATTTTGAAGATGTGAGATGAATATTCAATAACATTTCAGGCTTGCGATATTAGGAGGGCCATGGCTGTTTTTAACAACAGTTCGATCTTAGACAGGTGATCAATGGTTTTAACAACAGTTCGATCTTAGGAAGGTGATTAATGGTTTAAGTACAGTTCGATCTTTGGAAGGTGATTAATGGTTTTAACAACAGTTCGATCTTAGAAAGGTGATTAATGGTTTTAACAACAGTTCGATCTTAGGAAGGTGATTAATGGTTTTAACAACAGTTCGATCTTAGGAAGGTGATTAATGGTTTTAACAACAGATCGATCTTAGAAAGGTGATTAATTGTTTAAGTACAGTTCGATCTTAGGAAGGTGATTAATGGTTTTAACAACAGATCGATCTTAGAAAGGTGATTAATTGTTTAAGTACAGTTCGATAATAGGAAGGTGATTAATGGTTTTAACAACAGTTCGATCTTAGAAAGGTGATTAATTGTTTAAGTACAGTTCGATAATAGGAAGGTGATTAATGGTTTTAACAACAGTTCGATCTTAGGAAGGTGATTAATTGTTTAAGTACAGTTCGATCTTAGAAAGGTGATTAATGGTTTTAACAACAGTTCGATCTTAGGAAGCTGATTAATGGTTTTAACAACAGTTCGATCTTAGGAAGGTGATTAATGGTTTTAACAACAGTTCGATCTTAGGAAGGTGATTAATGGTTTTAACAACAGTTCGATCTTAGGAAGGTGATTAATGGTTTTAACAATAGTTCGATCTTAGGAAGGTGATTAATTGTTTAAGTACAGTTCGATCTAAGGAAGCTGATTAATGGTTTTAACAACAGTTCGATCTTAGGAAGGTGATTAATGGTTTTAACAACAATTCGATCTTAGGAAGCTGATTAATGGTTTTAACAACAGTTCGATCTTAGGAAGGTGATTAATGGTTTTAACAATAGTTCGATCTTAGGAAGGTGATTAATTGTTTAAGTACAGTTCGATCTTAGGAAGGTGATTAATGGTTTTAACAACAGATCGATCTTAGAAAGGTGATTAATTGTTTAAGTACAGTTCGATAATAGGAAGGTGATTAATGGTTTTAACAACAGTTCGATCTTAGGAAGGTGATTAATTGTTTAAGTACAGTTCGATAATAGGAAGGTGATTAATGGTTTTAACAACAGTTCGATCTTAGGAAGGTGATTAATGGTTTAAGTACAGTTCGATCTAAGGAAGGTGATTAATGGTTTTAACAACAGTTCGATCTTAGGAAGCTGATTAATGGTTTTAACAACAGATCGATCTTAGAAAGGTGATTAATTGTTTAAGTACAGTTCGATAATAGGAAGGTGATTAATGGTTTTAACAACAGTTCGATCTTAGAAAGGTGATTAATTGTTTAAGTACAGTTCGATAATAGGAAGGTGATTAATGGTTTTAACAACAGTTCGATCTTAGGAAGGTGATTAATTGTTTAAGTACAGTTCGATCTTAGAAAGGTGATTAATGGTTTTAACAACAGTTCGATCTTAGGAAGCTGATTAATGGTTTTAACAACAGTTCGATCTTAGGAAGGTGATTAATGGTTTTAACAACAATTCGATCTTAGGAAGCTGATTAATGGTTTTAACAACAGTTCGATCTTAGGAAGGTGATTAATGGTTTTAACAATAGTTCGATCTTAGGAAGGTGATTAATTGTTTAAGTACAGTTCGATCTAAGGAAGCTGATTAATGGTTTTAACAACAGTTCGATCTTAGGAAGGTGATTAATGGTTTTAACAACAGTTCGATCTTAGGAAGGTGATCAATGGTTTTAACAACAATTCGATCTTAGGAAGCTGATTAATGGTTTTAACAACAGTTCGATCTTAGGAAGGTGATTAATGGTTTTAACAATAGTTCGATCTTAGGAAGGTGATTAATTGTTTAAGTACAGTTCGATCTTAGGAAGGTGATTAATGGTTTTAACAACAGATCGATCTTAGAAAGGTGATTAATTGTTTAAGTACAGTTCGATAATAGGAAGGTGATTAATGGTTTTAACAACAGTTCGATCTTAGGAAGGTGATTAATGGTTTAAGTACAGTTCGATCTAAGGAAGGTGATTAATGGTTTTAACAACAGTTCGATCTTAGGAAGCTGATTAATGGTTTTAACAACAGTTCGATCTTAGGAAGGTGATTAATGGTTTTAACAACAATTCGATCTTAGGAAGGTGATTAATGGTTTTAGGTACAGTTCGATAATAGGAGGGTGTGAAAACAGGCACGTTCATGCTACAACAACCTCACACATCAAAATAATTACATTAATTAAATTTACAAGTAATGACATTAAACACAAAAAGCGGCTACTCGTATCTACCTACAGATGTATGAGATTGAAATACTGACTTAAAGCATTTATAAAGCCACTACTTAAAAAAAAATATAGCATCTAACTAGGGATATAAAACATTCATGTCGAACCGACTAAAAACGAATTTTTGCATCTGATTAGGGATGTAAAGCATTTTTTTACTGACTTAAGTTGTGTAACAAATGATGTACAAATAATGTACCAACAAAAGATGTACCTACAAAAGATGTACCTAGACATGTTGTACCAACAAATGATGTACAAATAAATAATATACCAACAAATGATGTACTTACACATGATGTACCAACAAATGATATACCTACAATTAATGTACAAATAAATGTTATACCAACAAGTGATGTACCAACAAATGATATACCAACAAATGATGTACCTACAAATGTTGTACCAACAAATGATATACCAAAAATGATGTACCTAGAAATGTTGTACCAACAAATGATATACCAACAAATGATATACCAAAAAATGATATACCAACAAATGATGTACCTACAAATGTTGTACCAACAAATGATATACCGAAAATGATGTACCTAGAAATGTTGTACCAAAAATGATATACCAAAAATGATATACCAACAAATGATGTACCTACAAATGTTGTATCAACAAATGATATACCAACAAATGATGTACCTAGAAATGTTGTACCAACAAATGATATACCAACAAATGATGTACTTACAAATGATGTACCAACAAATGAAATACCAAAAAGGATGTACCTAGAAATGTTGTACCAACAAATGATATACCAACAAATGATGTACTTACAAATGATGTACCAACAAATGATATACCTACAATTAATGTACAAATAAATGTTATACCAACAAATGATGTACCAACAAATGATATACCAACAAATGATGTACCTACAAATGTTGTACCAACAAATGATATACCAAAAATGATGTACCTAGAAATGTTGTACCAACAAATGATATACCAAAAATGATGTACCTAGAAATGTTGTACCAAAAAATGATATACCAACAAATGATATACCAACAAATGATGTACCTACAAATGTTGTACCAACAAATGATATACCAAAAATGATGTACCTAGAAATGTTGTACCAAAAAATGATATACCAACAAATGATGTACTTACAAATGATGTACCAACAAATGATATACCTACAATTAATGTACAAATAAATGTTATACCAACAAATGATATACCAACAAATGATATACCAACAAATGTTGTACCAACAAATGATGTACCTAGAAATGTTGTACCAACAAATGATATACCAACAAATGATGTACTTACAAATGATGTACCAACAAATGATATACCTACAATTAATGTACAAATAAATGTTATACCAACAAATGATATACCAACAAATGATATACCAACAAATGATGTACCAACAAATGATATAACTACAATTAATGTACAAATAAATGTTATACAAACAAATGTTGTACCAACAAATGATATACCTACAATTAATGTACAAATAAATGTTATACCAACAAATGTTATACAAACAAATGTTGTACCAACAAATGATGTACCAACAAATGATGTACCTACTAATGATGTACCAACAAATGTTGTACCAAAAAATGATGTACCTACCCATCGTAGATCTGACCTCCTCAAACACAGTTTGTCTGGTGTAGGTGCGGACGACAAGAACAGCAAAGATGGCGTAAGGTAGGTAGGAGATCATGAAACAAATGTTACTTAGGACGAGCAGGAAGGTGACTTGGTAGTTTACTGAAAGAAGGGAACACGCGGTGAAGGGAACATGGGAATAAGGGAACTAGGGAACAATGAGACAATAGATGAAGGGGACATGGGAACATGAGGTGGATGGGACGTGGGAGTGAGGGAACTAGGGAACAAGGGGAAAATAGATTAAGGGGACATGGGAACATGATGTATGTGACTAGTGGGAACGAGAGTCAGATGGAACAAAGGGAGATGAAAGCAGAGGTGTAGCGAGGATGGGGGGGGCGGGGTGGGGGACGTATGTACCCGGGCGCCGACTTTATGGGGCGCCAAAAAAGGTTGGAAAAAGGTAAAACAAATTGAAAGTTCAAGGGGGGGTGCAAATCGAAAGTTTGTACCCGGGCGCCGGGATGGGTCGCTACTGCTCTATGTTAAAGAAAGATGAATCAAGCGTTTGATGACATGAATAACATTGAAACGGCTCGATGACATTTAATAAACAATTTGATGACATATGAAACAGGAGAACAGTTTGATGATAAAGAGTGCATATATATATATATATATATATATATATATATATATATATATATATATATATATATATATATATATATATATAACGAGTAGCTACCTCTCGTCCGTAGGAGGCCATCTAATTTGTCCAACTTCATGAAGAAAGCTTTGATGTTGATGAGAAAGAGAACGAGAGCAGGGGAGATGGCGAACGAGAAGAAATTGACGAGTCGCCATGTGTTGCTGAGCGATGACTGGCACCTCGTGTGTCTGGGGAGAATTGGGTTCGAATCCTTAGCTAAACATGCATATATAGTACACTTTGTTTTGGTTACGATCATTAGCATTGTATACATAGGGATCATCTTTAAATGATAAGAGGCTTATTTGACGATCTTTACCTTCCCCCTCCCGTCCGTCACACATCGTCACAAAAAGCCAGAATCCGCTTAAAATGACGTCACACCTCAGCCTACAACCCCTCCCCCTCAAAAATTGCAGTTGAATTTTTCTTAAAATACGATATTTTTTTTCCAAAATCTTGTCTGAACTCTGTCAACATAAGGTATTGTAAACAATTCCTACTACAATTTTTTTAAAACAGTTTTTTTAAAACGCGAAATAACGGCTAAAATTCGTGTTCTAACATTGCTTTTACATAATGCAAAAGTGTGACGTCCCACCATCATACCCCCCCCCTCCCGCTCATCACACACCGTCACAAAATTACGGACCCCCATCCCCTTACGAGTGTGACGTCATTTAAGGACAACCCCCCCATATACGGTACACTTGTTATGTTTCCAACCCTAACCCTGAATCTAACACTAGCCATAATCGGGTAATGTGTGTGTGAGTGATTGGGGGGTGTGTATGTGGGGGGGGGGGGGGGGTAATAGACAAGGGGTAAACTCCTTTCCCATTTAAATATCTAAATTTAACAACTAACATTGAGTGATTGTTTGTTCATCTAGGACCACACTCTTAGATACAAACCATCTCGTAATTGTTCCAAAAAAAATAAACAACCCATTAACCACCAGATTCCCATGGCAATGTCCAGGATCGGATCACACTCACACGTGACTCCCAATCTGATACGTCGTGTTGTAGTAGCTGATCATAGCCTGCAGCCCGAACACGAGGACCACCAAGAAGCCAATCTTCAGGCCCACCAGCTTGTCCGGGGCCTCCATAGAGGACTCGCCAGCCCAGCGCATGGTGCGCAGGCCGATGAGAAGAACGTACATCCAACTGGATAGGGAGATGAGGCTGTAGGTCACCCAGTTGTAGAGTCTGAGGGGAGAAAGGTGGGAAGATGTGGTGTGGGGAGGGGGGGGGTTATTATAGTCATTAACGTCATGACTCATTAATCATTGACCTTATTATTTATTAATGTAAAAAACATTATCATCATTGTTACAATCTCAATACATCTTCGTTATTATTATTTTTTACCGCCATTGTTATCATCGTTATCATCAACATCATAATCAACATAATAATCATCATTATTATTTTCATCCTCAATATCGTAATCAACATCAAAACCACCGTTATAATCATCATCACAATTATCATCACCATAATCAATCAAAACCATCAACATTGTCATTATCGTCATTGTTGACCTCATCATAATCATCATCAGCAGTATCATTATCATCATGATCACCAAAAACATTATCATCACCATCATCATCATCACGATATTATCCCCACCAACATCGTCGTCATCATCATCATCATCATCATCATCATCATCATCATCATCATCATCATCATCATCACCATCATCATCATCACCATCATCATCATCATCATCATCATCATCATCATCATGATCATGATCATTATCATCATGATCATCATGATCATCGTCGTCGTCGTCGTCATCGTCATCATGAAAATCATCATCATAATCATCATCATCATCATCATCATCATCATCATCATCATCATCATCATCGTCGTCGTCGTAATCATCATCATCATCATCATCATCATCATCATCATCATCATCATCATCATCATCATCATCATCATCATCATTGCCGCCGCCGTCGTCGTCGTCATCATCAAAACCATCATCATAATCATAATCATCAACATTATTATAATAACTACAACTACCAACCCAAACATTGTCATAATTATTACAACGCTCTAAAGTTCTTCTTGCTGAACAACAAATAAACTCTACTTTACTTACGCCTTTTAGTCGTAAACAGCATTCATCCAATTTCCTTTTTTACAGTATTGTTACACACCAAAATAGTCAAATACTTTATAAAATTTTATTTTACTCCTAAAGTCGATACTCTAAATCACAAATGTATTACAACTGTTATAGTGACAAGAGTATCGAATTCAAGCATACACATCCTCAAATCACACAACATAATTTCTAATCATTTCGAATCCGGGTTTAAGTCGGTAGACTGTCCCTGAGTCCACCCAACTCTGATGGGTACCTAAATCACGTTAGGGAAAGTAAAGTCGGCTGGGCATAGTGCTTACCGCACTATCTCTTCATATGCCGAGGTCACAGAAACAAGTGAACCCTACCTCACTTGCCCTATAGACCGTCAGGTTTGAAAGGGAACTTTACTTAATTCCTAATTCGTAAATCTGAATATTTACCAAAGCATATGCGCGTCTTAAGATTATACTACAGAAATTTATGTAACTAAATAAAAATATTTTTAAAAATTCAAAACTAAACGTTTTAATAACAAACTTTTATGTAATAATGCACTAAAAAGTAGAAAATAACTATAAAGAAAAGCGTGGGTCACTTAAGTACCTATTGGATACCTTTACTAATATTTGAGAAGAGACCCACGCTTTTCTTTATAGTTATTTAAATAGCAGTGTATATTTTATTTTCTACTTTTTAGTGGATTATTACATAAAAGCTTTTTATTAAAACGTTTTCTAATGAACTTTTTTCATTACTTTACATGTTTTATTTACAATAGAGTTACATGACTAAAGAAAGTTTATAGCTAAAGTTTCAGTAAAGTATTATGGGATGGCGTAGTCTAGTGGTAAAGAACTAGACTGCTGACCCGACTAAAAACCATTGCGCGCCTATTGAACGTGATGAAGCGTTTTGTCGTAGAGCCCCCCCCCCCCCCCTCGCTCCACGCCCAAGACGGCCATGATGACTACTAATTCGGTCCAAATTTTAATCAGTTCATAAAAGACTAATTAGGCGACCAATCAAGACAAATTGAATGTCACGATGCATTGTCTTCATGTCTTGACCTACGTACCAACAAGGAACCGTATCTGTCAGTTAGAAGTCCCTACAATTTCACACGGGCGTTTCAATCTAGACAGACAGACAAACTGACGACAGACAGAGGAAGTGAGTTAAATAAGATCTTGTAAAAATTGAACACATAACGATTAGTTTTTTTTTTTTTTTAAATTTAAGAAAAAAAAAACTTTGAATACTAACAGACAAATGCCGTAGCTTTTTTCCTTGAAGCTGAGTTCTGATATATCCATAACGAGAATCATACCAGGCCCCCAGACAAGGGCAAGGACGTTGGTGACACATAGCGTGGTCATGCCGTAGAAGGTGATGTTTCGTTTGATGTACAAGCTTCGTAACACACGAAATGACAACATGTTGCCTGAAATGTTGGTGAGACGAAATGACATGTTGCCTGAAATGGTGGTGAGACGAAATGACATGTTGCCTGAAATGGTGGTGAGACGAAATGACATGTTGCCTGACATTTTGGTAAGACGAAATGACATGTTGCCTGAAATGTTCGTGACATGAAATGGCACTTTGCCAGAAATGTTGGTGGTACAAAATGACATGTTGCCAGAAATGTTGGTGAGACGAAATGACACGTTGGCTGAAATTTTGCTGCTACGAAATAACATGTTGCCTGACATGTTGGTGTTATGAAATGACATTTTGCCTGAAATGTTGGTGAGACGAAATGACATGTTGCCTGAAATGTTGGTGTGACGAAATGACATTTTGCCAGAAATGTTGGTGAGACGAAATGACATGTTGCCTGAAATGTTGGAAAGACAAAATGACATGTTGCCTGAAATTGTGGTAGACGAAATGACATGTTGCTTGGAATGTTGGTAAGACGAAATGAGATGTTGCCTGAAATGTTCGTGACAAGAAATGACATGTTGCCTGAAATGTTGGAAAGACAAAATGACATGTTGCCTGAAATTGTGGTGAGACGAAATGACATGTTGCCTGAAAATGGTATGGGACATGAAATGGCATTTTGCCAGAAATGTTGGTGTTAAAAAATGACATGTAGACTGAAATCTTGGTGTTACGAAATGACATGTTGCCTGAAATGTTGGTGTTAAAAATGACATGTAGACTGAAATGTTGGTGTTACGAAACGACATGTTGCCTAAAATGTTGGTGAGACGAAATGACACGTTACCTAAAATGGTGGTGAGGCTAAATGACATTTTACCTGTAATTTCTAGAATTTCATTTTACGAAATGACAAAATTGCTATACAAAGATTTAATTCAATGAAGTTACAAATTATTACTACATAGTTTCATTCAATGAAGTGAACAAATTATTACTGTAGTATTTAATTTCACAGAAAGACAATTTTGTTGTATTATAGTTCAATGTCAGATGATAACAATATTGCCACTGTATAATTACCTAAACTAATGTAAGTATTAAGATGACCACTTACCTGTGGCGCCCACACTAATTAATGTATTAAAAGTAATTCATTTCTGGAATGCTTATCTAAATTAATCTAAATTAAATGAAGATGACCATTCACCTGTGATGCCTATACTAATTAAATAATTAAAATAATTCATTACTGGAATGCTTACCCGAATCAATATATGAAGATGACCACCTACCTAGGATCCTTAAACTAACCAATTAATTAAAATCACCAATTACCTATGATGCCTACACTAATTAATTCATTAAAGATTCTATCATACCTGAATGCCTATACCAATTAATTAATTGCGATGTCCACTGATGCCTACACTAATTAACTAAGCATGACGTTCACTAACCTGGGATGCCTATACCAATTAATTAATTAAGATGTCCACTGAAGCCTAACTAATTAACTAATCAAGACGTCCACTAACCTGGAATGCATACACCCATTAATTAATTAAGATGTCCACTGATGCCTAAACTAATTAACTAATCATGACGTCCACCAACCTTGGATGCCTATACCAATTAATTAATTAAGATGACCACTGATGCCTACACTAATTAACTAAGCATGACGTTCACTAACCTGGAAGGTCTATACCAATTAATTAATCAAGATGTACTCTGATGCCTACACTAATTATCTAATCAAAAAGTCCATTAACCTAGAATGCCTTTACCAATAAATTAATTAAGACGTCCGCTAATCTGAGATGCCTACATCAATTAATTAATTAAGATGTCCACTAATACCTACACTAATTAACTAATCAAGACGTCCGCTAATCTGTGTTGTCTACACTGATATACTAATCAGGAAGTCCACTAACCTGGAATGCCTATAACAGTTAACTAATTAAGATGACCACTGATGCCTACACTAATTAACTAATCAATACGTCCACTAATATATGATGCCTACACTAATTAACAAGGGACGAAGTGGTCTAGCGGTAGAGAGCTGGACTGCTAACCCGTTAGTCTTGAGTTCAAATCCGGGTTCAAGTCAGTAGACCGTCCCTGAGTCCACCCAACTCTGATGGGTACCTAACTCTTGTTAGGGAAAGTAAAGGCGGTTGGGCATAGTGCTGACCACACTATCTCTTCATGTGCCGAGGTCACAGAAACAAGTAAACTCTACTTCACTTGCCCCATAGACCGTCAGGTTTGAAAGGGAAACTTTACTTTTTTACTTTTACACTAATTAACTAATCAGACCGTCCACCAACCTGGAATGCCTATGCCAATTAACTAATTAAGATGTCCACTGATGCCTAAGCTAATTAACTAATCAAGAAGTCCACTAACCTGGAATGCCTATACCAGTTAACTAATTAAGATGACCACTGATGCCTACACTAATTAACTAATCAAGACGTCCACTAATATATGATGCCTACACTAATTAATTAATCAGGCCGTCCACTAGCCTGGGATGCCTATACCAATTAATTAATTAAGATGTCCACTGATGCCTATACTAATTAATTAATCAGGCCGTCCACTAACCTGGGATGCCTATACCAATTAATTAATTAAGGTGTCCACTAATACCTACACCAATTAACTAATCATGACGTCCACAAACCTGGGATGCCTATACCAATTAATTAATTAAGATGTCCACTGATGCCTAAGCTAATTAACTAATCAAGACGTCCACTAACCTGGAATGCATATACCAATTAATTGATTAAGATGTCCACTGATGCCTTTACTAATTAACAACTCAAGAAGTCCACAAACCTGGGATGCCTATACCAATTAATTAATTAAGATGTCCACTGATGCCTTTACTAATTAACCACTCAGGAAGTCCACTAACCTGGGATGCCTGTACCAATTAATTAATTAAGATGTCCACTGATGCCTACACTAATTAACCACTCAGGAAGTCCACAAACCTGGGATGCCTTTACCAATTAATTAATTAAGATGTCCACTGATGCCTATACTAATTAACCACTCAGGAAGTCCACAAACCTGGGATGCCTATACTAATCAAAGTTCCAGAGAATATGATGAGCATGACCTTGTCAGCCGTTCTGAGATTTGACTCCTGTATCATCTCACGGTAGTAACTTGTGTCGTTGTAGCCACCATCGGACATAAAGCCTGAAACAAGGGGCAATAACAAACCTTTTCTTTCTTCTTATTTGTAATATGGGAGGGAATTTCTCCTCAAATACAACTGAGTTATATGTGTTAACATGTTATGTTACGTATGTCCCATTGACTCCGTAAGTCTAAATTGTATGTTTTTATGTTGCATGCGTAGAATATCCAGATTAATCAGTAAATGAAGTAAATATTAGATGATCATTTTGGGATTATAAAATTATTTACTGCAGTTCATTAATTAATACAAATAAAAACATTGTATGCACAATTATTTAACCACAAATAAACATGTTAACTTATGAAAATGCTAGATGAAATTTAGTAAAAGACATAGGCTACTAAGAATAATAAGCGGTTAAAATGCCGATTCAGGATAAAAATCCGTTTTAAATTACATTTTTCGTTTCCAGTTAAATTTGAAGTTGATGAAGTTGATGTGATTTTGATTTTGGTCTAGGGAAAAAGACAACACTATCAACCTAGCGCCCGTTGTATTTCAACCTCAACGGGACATTTATCTAGTAAATGATAAAAAGATTGTGAGCGAGTCATAAAATCTAAAGAGTGAGCTGTAGGTAGTTGTAAGGAAATGTTCAATGCTTTAAAAAAACTTTTGACATGGTAATTCTAAAAGACACCCGTCTGCAACTCCAGAGTTTCTTCCAGGCATCTCTTCGGGGGGGGGGGGGGGGGAAGCCCCCCTCCCCCCGAAGAAAGTCTACCGCCCCCCCCCCCCCCCCCCCACGAGGAAATGAAATTTATATAGAAAATATATACTTTTAACAGTGCCGACCCCCGAAGAAAGTCTACTGCACCCCCGAAAATTTCAAGTGCCCCCCCCTGAGAAAAATATCTGGAAGAAATACTGTGCAACTCTTTGATTCAATGTTTATTTAATCCCATTCAATTCTCCATGGGATTTGGTATAATCAGCAATACAAAGTTAGGTGATCTGACCATATAGCGTCGGAACTTATCCGGTAATGCTTATTGAGTATCGTAAACATTTGTTACTGTACTGTAAACCACCGTTTATTTGACCGTTGAAATCAAATGAAATCGAGTGTATTAAATTAATTGAATTTAATCAATGTTTTAACTTAACTTTAGGTCAATTAACAGAAATTTAGCAACATTTAGTATATCTGAATATAAATAATAAAGTCCTGTGTGGTAATTAATATGTTTTCAAGATACACAGAAAAATATCTAGCAGAAGATTGGCGACATTTAGATTATAGATATAGATGTAGATCTAGGCCTAGTAAAATAAGACGATTAGATTTACTAAACTCTAAAGTAAAGTAGTAAGAAGAACTAGTACAATATTTAGTAACAGCAATAACTAGCACATACGCTTACAATATTTAGAAATACAAAATAATTTGCGAAATATTATTTAAAATGCAACTAAAATTAATGTATGCAAATTTTAAAACATTATGTATTAAAAAAAATATGACGCCAAATAAAATATGATTTACAGTATTTCCCGTGGTTTCCGGAACGGCGTGACAGACTCCGCCATGGTTTTACTGTTGTTTTTTTTTTTACTGCTGCACCATTCCGGAATAATAGCCAATCCTATAGATTTTTCGTGAGATTACCTAAAGTTAATGAAAACCATATTTTTATCCTAATTAAATCGTCATAAAAAATTGTCTCAAATTATCCCCACCCCCTTTTCTCCCTACTCCTCCCCCAACCCCCACCCACCCACACGTGTAAGCTCATGTATCTAGACCAATCGAATATCTGGCAAACAAAATACGGTTTAATAAACAGACGATACCTCTCGCTGAGCTATATTGGAGAGTCATCTTGACGTTTTTTATTTGTTTACCCACATATACAAAGACTTCCGTTCAATACCGTCCTACACTTTTTTGTCTACACTAAATTTACGAAAAAGTAATTAAAAGAAATATATTCGCGTGAATAGAGAAATATTCAGAATAAATAAAACGGGTGTGATCTCCCCTAATTTTTTTTCGAATATTCTTACATAACACTACGGGGGATGGCAACTCGGGATATATAAATGATTTTAAATCAATTTTTAACTACTTAAACTTTTCAAAATAGAATAGAATCTCGTAGAAAAAAGAATTGCGCACAAAGTAAACAGAAAACAATGAGTTTATAATGGTGCGCAATATTAGTACTTTATAAATTCGTATTCGCTTTTTTTGAGAAATCGGAAATAGCGTAAAGTACTACTCCCGGTTAACGAAAATAACTAAAAATTTGACAGAAGGCAGAGAATTAGATCTTTTACTATATTTTACGAACGATCTGAAACAGAACTCAAGTTATAGGCATCTGAAAAACCAAAAGTAGAATAATTCCACTTTCGGTACCCGGAAATTGCTGAAAAATTGATCCATAACTACACATTTGATATAATACTTATATTTGAAATTTCACCACCCTAGCTTTAACGGTTCTCAAGTTATCGTGTTCACAGACACACAGACACACATACACACACCCACATACACAGACATACCGACAAAATCCGACTCGATTACGCTTAAAACGCCGAAATTTTGATACATTTGGATTTAGAATTTTCGCCCAATAAGGCCCAAAACTCCGTAGGCTATATGACGAAGTACTGAAAAGTAAAACGATAAAAACTAAAAAAAAGTTTCTTGGGATTTTTGTGAAAGATTGCAATACTTCCTCTATGTTCTGTAAGGGCTCATCCATAAATGACGTCACGCTTTTTTGGACGATTTTTACCTCCCCCCTTCCCCTCCGTCACACATCGTCAAAAAAAGCCAGACCCCCCCCCCCCTTAAAATGACATCAAACCCCTCTGAACCTCCCACCGCCCCCTCATCATACACCGTCACAAAATTACTGACCCCCCCCCTCCCCCCTACGAGTGTGACGTCATTTATGGACGACCCCTAAACAAGAAAGTAAAAAGATTCACCATCAATTAATTCTTGCAAAGCTAAGCTTTTAAACTAACAGTAATGATATAACTGAAGTATATAAATAAAAAAGATATGAAAATATAGAATTTTTTAAAAATCACACATTTAAAACTGGTAATTAAAAAACAAAAAGAAAGAAGAAACAAAGAATCAAAAGAAGTGTTAATACATGAATAAAATGATATTAACAATATGTTTATTCAGTTTACACACACCCTCCTTGCTGAGTCTTGCATACACACAGTCAACAGATACACAAAACGTAGAGAAATTTACATGAATTAAAATTAGTAAAAACTTGATTGTCAAGGAAAATTTAGAGACATGTGCTATAAACAATTCGTGTGAATATGGTGAGATATGACTGACTGATATACCTGATAAACAAGGACATAATTAGAATTATGAATTTGCTTCGATATTTAGGGTGTACTTAACTAAGAAAAGACTTTGTCTACGTGTCTGCATGTAAAATTTACATAAATATATGAGTGGGTCTATGTATATTTTTATGTAAATGTTGTAAAGATTCGGGCATTATATGATAACATAGCATAACCGTGTATTCAATAGGTTTACATCCTAAAATATATTAACAATGTATTGTCAGATTGAGTGCACAGATTTAACATGAGAAATGTTAACTGCTCTGATGAATTGCTGGATGAAATCCCAACTGGAATACTTTTACAGACGTTTCTTATTGCGGACTTCCTAGAGGCTATACAGGTGTTTCTAAATTCTGAGTGCGGAGAGGTTACACAGAGGTTTCTGATTATCTGATCGCGGCCAACGTAGAGGTTATACAGAGGTTTCAGATTTCCTAGCGCGGCCAACGTAGAGGTTATACAGAGGTTTCTGATTTCCTAGCGCGGCCAACGTAGAGGTTATACAGAGGTTTCTGATTTCCTATCGCGACCAACGTAGAGGTTATACAGAGGTTTCTGATTTCCTATCGCGACCAACGTAGAGGTTATACAGAGGTTTCTGATTTCCTAGCGCGGCCAACGTAGAGGTTATACAGAGGTTTCTGATTTCCTAGCGCGGCCAACGTAGAGGTTATACAGAGGTTTCTGATTTCCTAGCGCGGCCAACGTAGAGGTTATACAGAGGTTTCAGATTTCCTAGCGCGGCCAACGTAGAGGTTATACAGAGGTTTCAGATTTCCTAGCGCGGCCAACGTAGAGGTTATACAGAGGATTCTGATTTCCTAGCGCGACCAACGTAGAGGTTATACAGAGGATTCTGATTTCCGAGCGCGACCACCTCCTGAACTGAAGGACTCAGGTTTGAACCCCGGCCCAGTTGCTGTCCTCATTAGTTCACCACTGGACATGGCTTGATGTGGGGCATTGACATCCGCTTCTTCACCAGGCTCCATTCGGGCACGCTCAGCTGTTGATACCAAATGGGAAATGTCAATTTTGAGTGCATGAATACTTTGTTAGTTAATCTTTATATTCAATGTACTCAAAGTCATGTAAATAGTATGTATATACAAATGTATATATATATATATATATATATATATATATATATATATATATATATATATATATATATATATATATATATATACTAGCTGCATCCCGTGCTCCGCCACGGTAAATCTTTTTTAAATGTACCAACTTGGGAACAGGACAAAACTAAACACAACACAAACGAACGCAAAAAAAAACACAAACGAAAAAACAAACACAACACTCATAACATAAACACAATTTAAATGCAATCATAAAGGCATATTGCTCACAGTCTAGCCCGTAGCGCCAAATCGCGCACTTTCCGGTGATTTGCACCCCCCTCAAACTTTCGATTTGCACCCCTGTCCCCCCCCCCCCCCGCCCTAAAACTTTCGATTTCCACCACCCCCCCCCCTCGCAAATTTTTTCCAACCCACTTTGGCGCCCCCTAAGGTTGGCACCCGGGGACATATGCCCCCCCCCCCTCGCTACGCCTCTCCTATAAAACCCCTAGCTTGAACGCAAACCGAAAGATAGAATAATAATTAGTAAACAGTATAAATAATAGGCAGTATTTAAAATATCCGTGTTTTACCTACAATATTTCACTTTATCCATTCACGCATTTTTTCCCAGTACTTTAAATTTTAAAAATTTACAATAGAGTTTCATGACTAAAACCATTGCGCACCTAATGAACGTGATAATTAATATAATAATGGAGAATAGTTTATTAAAAATTATAATTAGTAAACAGTACATTCAGTGAATAAAATAAATAAAAGATAGCCTTTTATCAATCAATGCTAATTATAATATTCCAACAATAATGTACTCTTATACGTCTGCATAATTTGCATTCACATTTTGCTAATTATATTATTCCAACAATTATTCCGTCTTGCAGATTTTGCATTCACATTTTTAGCGTGAGTTCAATTTATTTTTAAAATACCTCCCTTGGCAAAATTACTACACAGTTTAATTAGATTTTTCTAACCTACAGTTATTATGTTATTAAAATGTATCCACTTTTTCTAGGAATATTAACAAAAACTATATTTGACATTGATCCTTTTAATATGTTTTAGCAATGTGCGTGTATTTAATATTCTCTTTACGTTATGCAAAATTGTACAAACAGTGGAAATTATAAAATAGCTCTATGCTGCTATATAAACAAACCCTACTCTAATACTTATAATAAGACACTGCGGTGCACTGAAAAGCACAGCATGGTGCGAATGTTTACTTTTATGGTTCCATAAGCTATAGCGATGACAGAAGGAAGGAAGGAAGGAAGGAAGGAAGGAAGGAAGGAAGGAAGGAAGGAAGGAAGGAAGGAAGGACTGACACACGCTCAGCCCGCTTATATTATAGATATATAAGAAGTGTTGTATTTTAGAATCAAGTTTCCTTTAGACATTACCTACACACTTGAAATTAAATTCCGAACCTGAAATAAACAATTTTAAATAATTATCCCCAAAATCGTATGGTTATATATATATATATATATATATATATATATATATATATATATATATATATATATATATATATATAACATGTTTGTAAACAAAATGTTTGTCGTGGATACTTCCATGGATTTAAGTGTTAGATTATTATAGTGCTCACATCTAAATTTAATCTGAGTTAAAAAATTACTATTGAAAGTGTTGGGAAATAATTGCTAATTTCAAACTGATAGTTATAATTGTCGGTATGTTCATTAAACACAATTTTAAAAAATATCATCTTTTACAAAAACTCTATTTATGTCCGAAAATTATTTATATTTAGTCCTTTAGTACATACTTCCCTTTGATAAATGAGGAAAACACAATTACTTCCCTTTATAAAACATTGCATTAGTGGAAAATAATTTACTTTTTATTGCTTGGTTTTGGTGTTGGGAAAAAAAAATTACATAATTAGCGGGGATTGATCAAGTGCAAATGTTGAAGGTATTTTACGGATAAGCTTGGAGTATTATAATTGTTCATTAAATTGAAACAGGCGCGTCCGCCTGCGCCCCACCAGGGTTCAATTTGACGCCCTGTGCTATCATGTGAGCGCTATGGTGCATAATTTCGCTTTAGACAGTGCGATAGAGTATGGATAAGAGTATGGATAAGAAAGGTTACTATAGTATTTAAGCGAATCGAATCCGGGCGTCCCCTGGCGCCCAGACAGGCTGCTATTTGGGGCCCCGGGCCTCCCGTGTTCGGTTTGACGCCTACGTTCGCTAAAGTAAGTGCAAAAGACTATGAATAAGTTGGGGTACTATAGTCGTTTATTAAGCTGAAACAGGCGATTCCACCCCGGGCTAGACTGTGAGCATTTTGCGTTTATGTTCGCGTTAGTGTTTTCTTTGTGTTTAGATTGGGTTTGCGTGAGTGGTTGCGTTTTGATTTGGTTCGTTTTTGTTCTTTATTTTTTCGTTTTCGTTTTTTTTTTCTTTGGGTTTGTGTTTGTATTTGTGTTTGTGGTTGGTTTTGCGTTTGGATTTGGTTTGTTTTCGTTTGCTTTTTCGTTTGTTTTTTTCTTTGTGTTCGTATTGGTGTTTGTGGTTGTTGTTGGGTTTGTTGTTAGGTTTTTGTTTTCGTTTCCTTTTTTGTTTGTTTTTTCTTTGTGTTTGTATTGGTGTTTGTGGTTGTGGTTTGGTTTGTTGTTAGGTTTTTGTTTTCGTTTGTATTTGTAATTGTGTTATCTTTATGTTTTCGTTTTGTTGTTTTGGTTTTGGTTGGCTGTGGTTTGGGTGGGCAATGCCGGGTTTAGGATGATTACTAAACACACAGGTAATGGTCTTTAACAGAAAGGTTTTTCACAGAAGCCAGAGCAGGGCCTGGCCGGGACGGCTAGTATATATATATATATATATATATATATATATATATATATATATATATATATATATATATATATATATATATATATATATATATATATATATATGTATAAATATATATATATATATATATATATATATATATATATATATATATATATATATATATATATATATATATATTATAAGGACAGCGTGTAAGTAGCGAAATTGAACTTGAAGCTGAATTGAACGTAGGCTTACTTAGGTCATGGGCTATAACATAGGTCGTCAGTGACCTCACGGCATTAGCCTGTTAATTTGTTTGTAGCTTGAATGTTTAATTCGCTATAATGCATTCTTAGCTTTCCGTTATAGTTAAATAATAGATCTGTGTGTTGTTTCTATTAGATTCCGACACTATTATCAATGATTTAATTGGAGAATACTGCCGATAAACAGACTTACGCCATTTGTAAGGTCAATAATGTCCGTCAGAGAAGCTCGATTCTAGATTGCTCATTAACAGGGGCGTAGCGAGGTGCGGACCGCACCGGGTGACACCATTTAGGGGGGTGACACCAAAGCAAAAAATAGCAAAATATATATAGAAAAACTCGAGGGGGGGTGCAAATCGAAAGTTTGGGGGGGGGGGGTGCAAATCGAAAATTTGAAAGTTTGTCCCTGGAAGGGTCTCTATGCCTCTGTGGGGGGTGACACCATTAAGTGCCGCACCGGGTGACACCCGACCTCGCTACGCCACTGCTCATTAATTAAATAATTGAGATTTTTACTGAACTGTTTCAATTTATATCGATGGTCTCGGTCGCAAATCGTCTTGCTCCGAAAATGTATATTTTACAGGAGAGACAAAAACTGATTATTTCATTCTTGATCGCTCTAATACATTTTTTTTTATATGTCTATCTGTGCGCGCGCAGACGAAGCAATTTTGAACCGAGAATTTCGGTCTTAGCCGCGTTTGTTCGTTTTGTCCAATGAACGTGTTTTAGTTATGTTTTATTTTTAATATATTTTAATTAGGGGTCATCCATAAATGACGTTACGTTTTTTTGGACGATTTTTACCTCACCACTCCCCTCCGTCACACATCGTCACAAAAAAGCCAGACCCCCCTAAAATAACGTCACACCTCAGCCTACTACCCCCCTTAAAATTGCAGTTGAATTTTTCTTAAAACATCGATATTTTTCTAAAATCTTGTCTGAACTCTCTCAACATAGAGTGTTTTAATCAATTCCTATTACAATTTATTAAAACAGTTTTCTTAAACGCGAAATAATAACTAAAATTAGTTTTCCAACATTACCTTTTCTTAATGCAAAAATATGACGTCCCACCATCTGAACCCACCCCCTCCCTCTCATCACACGCCGTCACAAAATTACGGACCCCCCCCCCTGCCCCCTACGAGTGTGACGTCATTTATGGACGACCCCTTATTTGAGTTTATTATACTTTATGTGGTCAGTTTAATTTTAGTAGAGATGTTATAGTATGGCTTTATCATTTGCGACTGTTTATTCATTATGGCTGTATTTAGTACTAGACTTTTTAACTGTTGAAGGTTATGCTTTATTTATTACATCTTTCTATTCAAACAATTTATTTTACTAAATCTGGTGGGTGCTGGGTTTGTAAAATGATCATAGTAAAAATATAAACCTTATTGTCAGATATATTATGAATGAGACATAACACATTAATCACATTAATAATGACTTAATGTTTACTTATGTAACGAAATGTAACAAAAATGTTGTTATTTTTTAAATTTATTGTTTAAATGAATGTCACATGAAGAAACATTAAAATGGCCACATATTTTTTAAGTCAGGGAAATCATCCTAAAAATGTGTCTTTATGACTTGCTTTTAGGCGCTCATATATGACAGCTTTTTTTACAACTTGTCAGGGACTATGGATGATATCATAATCTTGCGACCCTAGCTTAGCAATTTCTAGCCCATTCACTTTAAAGTTGATAGTAGCATTATGGTTGTACTGAAGTGCACGAATATCTGTCGCATTGAATTCCCGATAGGTCTGGCTGGTCTTTAAGGAGCAGCTGGTTTATTTTGAGAGAGGCTGGTGTCTATTGTCTGTTATGTGAGGCTGGTATATTGTATGTTACGACTGCTCTGTTGCGAAAGACTCGTGTGTTGAGACAGGCTGGTCTATTGTATGATAAAACTAATCTTTTGAGAGAGGCTGGTCTCTTGTGTGGTAAGAATGGTCTGTTGAGTGAGGCTGGTGTTTTGTATGGTAAGACTGGGCTGTTGAGAGAGGCTGGTCTGTTGAGAGTTGCTGGTGTCTAAGAAGGTTTGACTAGTTTGTTGAGATATTCTGGTGTCCTGTATTGTAAGATTAGTCTTTTAAGAGAGTTTGGTCTTTTGTATGTTACGACTGGTCTGTAGAGAGGGGCTGGTCTGCTGAGAGATGCTGGTGTCTTTACGATTGGTCACTTGAGAGCTGATGGTGTCTTGTTTGGTAAGACTGGTCTGTTGAGAGAGGCTGGTCTGTTGAGAGTCTGGTCTGTTGAGAGAGGCTGGTGTGTTGAGAGAGGCTGGTCTGTTGAGAGAGGCTGGTATGTTGGGAGAGGCTGGTCTGTTGAGAGAGGCTGGTGTGTTGAGAGAGGCTGGTCTGTTGAGAGAGGCTGGTATGTTGGGAGAGGCTGGTCTGTTGAGAGAGGCTGATATGTTATGAAGCTGGTCTATAGAGAGAGGTCGATCTGTTGAGAGAGGCTGGTCTGTTGAGCGAGGCTGGTCTGTTGAGAGAGGCTGGTCTGTTGAGTGAGGCTGGTATGTTGGGAGAGGCTGGTCTGTTGAGAGAAGCTCGTCCGATGATAGATTCTGGTTTATTGAGAGAAGCGTGGCTGTTGAAAAATTAATCATAAAAGCATTTACTAAAGACAACTAACTATTTCGTTGAACATGTACGCCACACATTTTGTAACCTACCATTAAAACATTTCTTAACACGTAGATAAATCCTCAATCTAAAGCTAGTAGTGAATTAAAAATAATTAAACTTATTTCACAATCTTGTGGAAATATAATACGAATAATATTGTTTTGATTGATATTTAGATTCTAGAATGAAGATCTAGTTTCAAAGCATTGTGTTAGCCTAAACAATTGTAAACAAATCAGTTTGGTTATTGAAAATCTGGAAATAGGCTATATTAAACAAATACTATTTGTTTATTATTCTTTAAAATGATAAAATGTAATAGAATAGCTGAACATAATTAATCAAATATCATTACCTATAAGTACTGTGACTGCTGTGGTATAAATTTGTATGATTGCGGCGTGCGACTGCGTTTCCGATCAAAAGTGTACTGACAAATATAGCGATATTTGTTTTGCGCCGAGATTTTTAGCGCTTGAAATAATAGGCTGTTTGTTCGAATGATTATATCTAGATAATCATTCTACAGATTTAAATAATATTTTCAGACATTATGGGGAATCATACTGGCTTTTGATTTATGAAAAAAAAAAGAACATCGAAATTTTTTGAGATACACGGTTTACGACCGAGGCCATCGATATATAAATCTTTGTTTCTTAAAATCTTTTTTTTTTTTTTTTTAATGATATATATTAAATTATTATACTATTTAATTAAAATATTATTTTACTTTATGTATTCTAAATAAAACAGAATATTTTTACCAATTGATTTTTAGACTTCCTAGCAGAGGCGTAGCGACCCTACCCGGCCCCCGGGGACAAACTTTTCTATTTGCACCCCCCCCCCCCACCTCAAGATTTCGATTTGCACAACCCCCCCCCCCCTAAAACTTGCGATTAGCACCCCCCCCTCAAGATTTCGATTTACACCCACCCCCATCAAATTTTTGATTTGCACCCCCCCCCCTCAAGATTTCGATTTGCACCACCCTCAACCTTTCAATTTATTTCTCCAACCAATTTTGGCGCCCACTGAGGTCGACGCCCGGGGACATATGTCGTCCCGACCCCCCTTCCTCGCTACGCTACTTATTCCTAGCCAAGAAGACAGTGCGGTAGCTTATCACGCAGGTGGCATAAGTAGAGATCCTTAGCAATCTGTGTCCTTTTTTTTTTAAATATCACGTCCCAAAAATTGGACAGAGGGAAATCTCAAAGCACGCGAGTGACTCTAAATCAATGCTATTATTTCACATTTCGTTTAATCATTTCTTTATGTTTTATTCATGTGAGGTTAGCCCTAGAAATAAACCGCCTCATAATTTTTACGACTCTGATTCAGAATTAAGGCAATCGTGTGTATTGATTTGAAAGTTGTTTCCCAATTTAAAAAAAAAATACTAATTGAGTGCACTGAAGGAATCCGTTCACGAATAGCAGCCCATTTTTAACCGGAATTTCTACACCTTTATGGAGAAATAGCTTGCGTGCTCGACATTCTAAAGCGATGGAGGAATATCCATATCAATTAGGCGCATACACGATTGACGTGCTACCGCCACACCAATGCGAAGCGCTCTACTCGTATATATATATATATATATATATATATATATATATATATATATATATATATATATATATATATATATATATATATATATATATATATATATATATATATATATATATATATGTGCTATGATTTAGAAAAGAATATGATTTGATCATACCTCCACGTGAACTGTTTGAAATGATCGTTGTTTCTGTAACAAAAATAAAATAATTTAGCAGCAATCGCTTTGTTAGAGTGGAATATAACATATAAGCGTCTGCACATTTTCGAATCAAACTGTTAGTAGTTGACATGTGTAAAAACTTTTGCTTGCGGATTTAATTCCGAAAGGTGCATTCAATTTATTTATATTAATATGTTTATTAATTTTTTTTTAGACATTTCATTTAATAGAAGGGCGAAAAATATAACGTTTAATGTTACGTATTATCATGTATTTTGTGTTATATTTTGTATGAATTATGTCTTAAGCTTTTTTTTTCTTTAATTGCGTGTTGATATTTCTGCATGTACTAATTTTCTTTTGTTATTTTTGTATTTAATATCGTGTTATCTTGGTTGTTTGTTATATTTCTATTTCGGATTTTTTTTTTCTTCAGTTATAGTTATGCGAAAATTTTTTTTAAGAAGTCTTGCAACAAATAATTTGTTAAATGTTATTAAATCGTTAAATTTTGTTACATTGTTAAATCTTGCCAAATCAATCCAAATATGATTTCTCTACAACAACGGGCCTAAGAATGTCTACAGTTTCTAAATTTAAATTCTTTTCTCAACTGTAGTGCTCATTGGGTGTTGTGGGCTTAACTCGGCACAATAAATAAAATTACTTTTTAGAACCTAATGGTCAATGGAGCAGGTGAAGTAGAGTTGACCTGTTTCTGTGACCTCGGAATATGATGGGTTATTGTGGTAAGCACAATGCACAGCCACCTTTACTTTCCCTAACGTGAGTTAACAACCCATCAAAGCTGGATGGACACAGTGAAGCTCGACTAACTACGAACCCGGATTTGAACTCGAGACATTCAGTTCAGCATTGTATCGCTCTGCCACTCGACCACTTCAGCACCGTGCTCACCTGGGATCCTAGAGGAGGCCTCAGCTGACGGTGACACGGAAGCGACCCCTCCCGTCAGGTAGATGAGCTTCCGCATGGGTCGCAGAAGTTTCCAGAGCTCGTGCCTGAAGATGCTACCGACGAAACAGTAGATGACGATGTTGGTGGCACAGCCTAGGTAGTACACCACGGCCGCTATGGCGAAGCCTGGCGTGGATGAAGTAACTTATGTTAGGATACAGGAACAACTTTTATAAAAAGATGAATGGATAGCTTAATGTGAAGATAAATGAACAATTTTTATGTGAAGATGTATGAGCAGTTTTTATGTGAAGATAAATGTAAAATTTCTATGTGAAGATAAATGAACAATTTTATGTGAAGATAAATGTAAAATTTCTATGTGAAGATAAATGAACAATTTTATGTGAAGATAAATGTAAAATTTCTATGTGAAGATAAATGAACAATTTTATGTGAAGATAAATGTAAAATTTCTATGTGAAGATAAATGAACAATTTTTATGTGAAGGTAAATGAATAATTTTTATGTGAAGATAAGGGTAGTGTTTTTATGTGAAGATAAATGAACAATTTTTATGTGTAGATAAATGAACAATTTTTATGTGAAGATAAAGGTACCGTTTTTATGTGAAGATAAATGAACAATTTTATGTGAAGATAAACATACGTTTTTTATGTGAAGATAAATGAACAATTTTATGTGAAGATAAACATACGTTTTTTATGTGAAGATAAATGAACAATTTTTATGTGAAGATAAAGGTATCGTTTTCTATGTGAAGATAAATGAACAATTTTTATGCGAAGATGTTTATTTAAAGTTGCATGAAAACTTTATGCGTAGACGAACGAAAACATTTTATGTGAATATTTATTAACATTTGTATATTATAAAAATGCATGAACACATGTATGTGAAGACGAATGAACAAATGTATGTGAAGATTAATTAACACATTTTTGTGAAGATGAATTAACACATTGTATGCGAAGATGAATGAACACATTTTTGCGAGGATGAATGGACAAATTATATGAAAATGAAAAAAACAACTTTATGTAAAGCGGAGTGAACAATTGTATGTGATAATGAATAAACAAATTTATGTGAGGATAAATGAACAATTGGATGTGATAATGAACAAATAAATGTATGTGAAGATTAATGAACAAATTCCCATGTAAATTTACATTTCCTCGGGATTTTCTTCTATATCCTTAGTCTATCCAAAAAATAAATAAATAAAGGCATCCGTTGTTTGATTTTACAGAGTTTTTCTTCTTGAGTTGATGACATGAACTATGTGTAATTGTGTATGTAATGTTATGCGAGGTAATATTTATATGTCATATGTAATTTCTGGTTTGTGTAAAAGTGCCTACTGCATAATGCATATAGTGGTGTCAAAGCAGGTGTATATGTAATCATGTCTAAGTAAGAGTTTATTTAATAATTGCTCTGTAATCGTGTAAGTACTTATGTTTATAAAATGGTGTGAGAAGTGGTGTATATGAAATTATATATCTAATGATACCCATGTAAAAGTGGATTTAATTGTTTCTATGTAATTGTGATGCAGTTGTCGCTATGTGTTGGTATAGTGATGTTGTATCGATGGGTAAAGTACAGACCTAATTTGGCTTGATGGCTCTGAACAAAATCGTTCATGTTGAAAAATAAGGTGTAGGTACTGTAGTATATGGCCAAAGGAAAGTTGGTGAGCAGAAATACAACATTTGTGATCATCGTTAGCAGGAATAGTTGCTGTCTTAAGGCTGTGAAAGGAAAGTTGGTGGTTAGAAATACAACTTTTGGGATGGGGCGGATGTTGGTGGTTAGAAATACAACATTTTAGATGTGACTTTAGTTGGTGGTTGGAAATACAACATTTTAGAAGGGACGGATGTTGTTGGTCAGAAATACAACATTTGGGATGGGACGGATGTTGGTGGTTAGAAATACAACATTTCTAATAGGAAGATTGTTGGTTGTTAGAAATACAACATTTGAGATGAGACTTTATTTGGTGGCTAGAAATACAACATTTGGGGTTGGACTATAGTTGGTGGCTAGAAATACAACATTTGAGATGAGACTTTAGTTGATGGTTGGAAATATAACATTTCTGGTAGGAAGATTGTTGGTTGTTAGAAATACAACATTTGAGATCGGACTTTAGTTGGTGGTTAAAAATACAACATTTGGGATGGGACTATAGTTGGTGGTTAGAAATACAACATTTGGGATGGGACTATAGTTGATGGTTGGAAATATAACATTTCTGGTAGGAAGATTGTTGGTTGTTAGAAATACAACATTTGAGATGGGACTTTAGTTGGTGGCTAGAAATACAACATTTGGTGTTTGACTATAGTTGGTGGCTAGAAATACAACATTTGAGGTTGGACTATAGATGGTGGTTATAAATACAACATTTGGGATGGGACTATTGTTGGTGGTTAGAAATACAACATTTGGGATGGGACTATAGTTGGTGGTTATAAATACAACATTTGAGATGGGACTTTAGTTGATGGTTGGAAATATAACATTTCTGGTAGGAAGATTGTTGGTTGTTAGAAATACAACATTTGAGATGGGACTTTAGATGGTGGCTAGAAATACAACATTTGGGGTTGGACTATAGTTGGTGGCTAGAAATACAACATTTGAGATGGGACTTTAGTTGATGGTTGGAAATATAACATTTCTGGTAGGAAGATTGTTGGTTGTTAGAAATACAACATTTGAGATGGGACTTTAGTTGGTGGTTAGAAATACAACATTTGGGGTTGGACTATTGTTGGTCATTAGAAATACAACATTAAGGATGGGATAATTGTTAGTAGCTAGAAATAGGCCTATAACATTTTAGATGTGACTTATGCTGGTGGTTAGAAAAACAACATTTGGCAACTTCTGTTCATATACATACATGTGCGTGTAAAATGTGGGCATACCTTTCGAGGCTTTCCGGTGTTTCATCTGCTCTGGCGCCTGATACCTGTGGACTCCGACGATTGCGATGTTGAGGACGAAGAGCAGGATTCCAGGCACGAAGCCGAAGATGCTCATGGAGATGTGTGAGTAGATGTCGCCTCGTGTCAACTCACACATGGTCAGTGCACTGTCGGGAGTATATCGTTAGCGTCATTAGCATGAGAGGGTGCCGGGCTTTGGTTATGAGATTAAGGGTCTTCTAGATTCGTGAGCAGTTTCTCCTTGTTTGGTGGTACAGCGGGGAGGTAGAAATTTATATATATATATATATATATATATACATATATATATATATATATATATGCCCTATATATATATATATGCCCTATATATATATATATATATGCCCTATATATATATATATATATATATATATATATATATATATATATATAAATATATATATATATATATATATATATATATATATATATATATATATATATATATACATATATATATATATATATATATATATATATATATATATATATAGGCCCTATATATAAATATATATATATATATATATATATATATATATATATATATATATATATAAATGCGTCAGCTTAAGTGTCAAGGAATAGGCTGAAGACCTACCCTGTGTTTGAGTCGACAGTGATGGCTGAGCCAATGTCCACTGTATAGCCGTGTGCTATGAAGGTGAAAACAGTTAGAACAGTTGATATGCTGGCTACAAATTTCCAGGATGTGTTGCGTTTGGATCTGTTAAAAAAAATTGGGTTAGGCTTATGTAAGGTATGGTTGGGGTTAAGGTTATATTAGTTAAATATTTGATTAAGATTATATTAGTCAAGAAGGTCGTCGTGGTTGAGTCGGTTAAGCGCTTGGCTGCTAAACCGAAAGTCTCGAGTTCGATCCCTCGGGCAGATGAGGCTCGTTAGCTGGAGACAGCCACTCTTCATGGAGAGTAAACTCCAAAATCAAACAACTGCTTCCTTTTATGGAAGCAAATCCAAAAAGGAAAGCAAGCTGAAAGCAATGGCCTAACCAGTTGACACGTATGCTTAATTGTGTTGGAGAAGATCCCTTCCAATTCAAAATGAAGAACGAATAAACCGGGAGTGATCTCCCCTAAACTTTCTCGAATATTCTAATATAAAATTACGAGGGATGGCAACTCAGGACATAGACAATATTTGTTATCCATTTTTAATTACTGAAACTTTTTATAATAGAATAGTATCTCGTAAAAAAAAAGAATTGCACATCAAGTGAAAAGTTTCCCTTTCAAACCTGACGGTGTATGGGGCAAGTGAAGTAGAGTTACAGCTAGGTTGATGAAATTTCATATATAAGTATTTTATCAAAATCGTAGATCCGTATCAACTTTTGAGCGATTTCCAATAACCGTAAGTGGTACTTTTTCTACTTTGAATTTTTCAAAAGCCTATAACTTGAGTACTATTTCAGATAGATAAATGAAATTTGATATGTAAGTAAAAGATCTAATTCTCTACATTCTTTCAAATTTTGAGTAATTTCCGTTGACCGGAAGTACTTATTTACGCTATTTTCGATTTCTCAAAAAACGCATGTAAATTTATAAAGTACTAATAATATTGTGCACTATTATGCACATCTTTATTTAGCGTTCACTTGGTGTGCATTTCTTTTTTCTACGAGATTATATTCTATTTAAAAAAATTTGAGTAATTAAAATTGATTAAAAATCATGTCAGAAGTCTATATCCCGAGTTGCCATCCCCTGTAGTTTTATATTAGAATATTCGAGAAAGTTTATGGGAGATCACTCCCGGTTTATTTTAAATTACAAAAGATTTTAAAAAATTGTGTATCAATCAATAAATAATTATCAACACTCATGAGCTTTATAATATCCAGTTGCTATGTACGTTAGGTCAGAGGCGTAGCGAGGGGGGGGCGAGGAGCGGGGGTGGGTGACACCATTTAGGGGGGTGACACCAAGGCAAAAAATAGCAAAATACATAGAGAAAAAATTGAGGGGGGTGGGTGCATATCGAAAGTTTGAGGGAGGGGGGGGGGTGCAAATCGAAGGTTTAAGGAGGGGGGGGCAAATCGAAAATGTTTACCCAAGAAGGGTCGCTACGCCTCTGGGGGGGGGGGGGTGACACCATTAAGTGCCGCACCGGGTGACACCCGACCTCGCTACGCCACTGCGTTAGGTCTACATCCTACTTTAATGCTACACCCAAACGTGTAGTTGATTGCACGCGAACCTGGTACCAAAAGTTTACTCGACGTATAGGATGGTCTTACCTGTCTGGATTGATCATGTAGAACAATCGCAGAGACGTGATGCACACAATCAACCAATTGCAGAAGCTCATGCCCGACATGGTTAACAAGCTGTGGAAACTACAGCAAAGACACGATCTAATTAATTAGTTAGTAAAACAAATACTAATTAGACAAAAGTTATAGTGATAATATTATTAATATTTATATTATTAATACTGATATAATAATAATAATAATAGTAATAATAATAATAGTAATAGTAATAATAATAATAATAATAATAATAATAATAATAATAATAATAATAATAATAATAATAATAATAATAATAATAATAATAATAATAATAATAATAATTATAATTATAATTATAATTATACATTTTAAAAATATAAAGATATTTAGAGAGATAATATTTGTCTTCTAAAATTCTAGCCGTTTCGGCTAGGCAATGCTTCAGCCATGTATAGCAAACTCTAAATTTAAAAGTCAAATCAAATTTGGATATCCGTTTATTTAAAAAAATGATATTTGTTTTTTGAAGTCGCTATGAAAAAAATCGACCCTTAAAAATAGCAACACATACACTTGAATCTAAACTTAATTATTAATTTAGACATTTCAAGCCATTGTTCGATAGCACAACACAGAAAGGTTAGATCTTTTAAAATTATAAGCGTCAGAGTAACATGATATTCATTAGAAGAACAGCAAGGCTTAATATTTAATAAAATTTAAAGTAGTAATAGGTGTGCTAAATATGAAATTAGCAAGATTTCTTTCAAATGGAGATTTCGGGTAGGGGGGTGGGGGGGGAAGTAAAAATATGCGATTGTTCTTTTAAGTCCGTATTCTGATGGGAGAGGGGTACGTCGGTGGACGTGATGCGTGAGGGGTGGGGGGGGGGGGTAGCAGAATATCCGGAGAAATGCCTGAAAGAAACCCTAGATTGCGTCAAAACCATTTTCACTTACAAACATACAGGGCGAGAGTGAAGACGAAAGTTCCAGTCGAAGACGCCCTCGACAAAATGGCGTGAGAGCCCCCACGCTAAACAGAAGATGTTGCCGATACAGAGAACGATGAACATCTTGGACAGAACGTTGTTCCTCATGGCTCTTCTCTTGAAGACAAGGATGGTGATGATATTTCCTGGGAAAACGGGCAGGCGTTACAAGTCAGGCTTAAAGCAGTGGCGTAGCCAGGAATTGGTCTTGGGAGGGGTTCAAATATTTTTCCATTTGTATAAAATCATTTATATATAGACAACACCCTCCTGCTACACCACCCATAAACTACCTGGCACACCAAAGAAGTACAGTAGCACCGAGCCACTAACATACACTACCCTCCTGCTACACCACCCTTAAACTACCTGGCACACCAAAGAAATACAGCAGCACCGAACCACTGACATACAGCACCCTCCTGCTACACCACCCTTAAACTACCTGGCACACCAAAGAAGTACAGCAGCACCGAACCACTGACATACAACACCCTCCTGCTACACCACCCTTAAACTACCTGGCACACCAAAGAAATACAGCAGCACCGAGCCACTAACATACACCACCCTCCTGCTACACCACCCTTAAACTACCTGGCACACCAAAGAAGTACAGCAGCACCGAGCCACTGACATACAACACCCTCCTGCTACACCACCCTTAAACTACCTGGCACACCAAAGAAGTACAGCAGCACCGAGCCACTGACATACACAACCCTCCTGCTACACCACCCTTAAACTACCTGGCACACCAAAGAAGTACAGCAGCACCGAGCCACTGGCATACAACACCCTCCTGCTACACCACCCTTAAACTACCTGGCACACCAAAGAAGTACAGCAGCACCGAGCCACTGGCATACAACACCCTCCTGCTACACCACCCTTAAACTACCTGGCACACCAAAGAAGTACAGCAGCACCGAGCCACTGACATACAGCACCCTCCTGGCTTTACTACCACCCTTAAACTTCCTGCACACCAAAGAAGTTTCAGCAGCACCGAGCCACTGACCATACCTACCCTCCCGTCACCAGGGGTGGTTGTCGCCCGTGGGTGGGGTTGCTCACCTCACACCATGTCTACAGTGTGGGGGTTGTTGATTGGCTCAGTGGTTTATAGGCTACTGTGTCGAGGGTTTTGATTGGCTCAGTGGTTTATAGGCTACTGTGTCGAGGTTGTTGATTGGCTCAGTGGTTTATAGGCTACTGTGTCGAGGTTGTTGATTGGCTCAGTGGTTTATAGGCTACTGTGTCGAGGTTGTTGATTGGCTCAGTGGTTTATAGGCTACTGTGTCGAGGTTGTTGATTGGCTCAGTGGTTTATAGGCTACTGTGTCGAGGTTGTTGATTGGCTCAGTGGTTTATAGGCTACTGTGTCGAGGTTGTTGATTGGCTCAGTGGTTTATAGGCTACTGTGTCGAGGTTGTTGATTGGCTCAGTGGTTTATAGGCTACTGTGTCGAGGTTGTTGATTGGCTCAGTGGTTTATACGTGACATCGTCTTTGAGTCGAGGGAACTATGAAAATCAGTTTTTTTCCTGGGAAATAGGTGAACGTTTGGTAGATAATGGAATACACTTGTAAAATAGTGTGATCTAGTAGGCTGGAAGTAATGTGAACTGTAGGGCTGGTAAGTAGGTCACCAACCATTTCTACGGCTAAATCAAACCTGCATGAGCCATAGAACTGGTTGGTAACCTACTTACCAGCCCTATAGGTAGGAAATGATTAATGTAATTAATGTAATTAATGTGTGACAGGACAAAATGTATCCCTAGGTTCGTTAGGATTACATAACAGATTTTCTCCACAAATAAAAACGTAAGATTTGTCGCTGTTCCATGCGTAGAAGGGAAAGAATTACCATTATGTTTAGGAGTCAGGACCAAATATAGGGCAATTGTTTAGTCGAGTTTAGAGTTTTTTTAATGAACTGTATGTCGTAGGAAAAGCATTAAGATTGGGAATCTTTGTTTAGGTGTAGGTTTGCAGATAATTATTACAATTAAGTAAATGATAAATAAAGTTTTAAAAAAAAAGTAGATTCCTATTTAGACCTAGCAATTCATTGGGCAGATAAAGTGAGTTCATATGTTTCTTGAGCTCGGGTTATAAGCGAAAATGTGGTGAGCACTATGCACCGTTCCTTGAACTTTCCCTAACGTGAGTTAGGTACACATCAGAGCAGAACTTTAACCCGGATTCGAACTCGAGACTTTCGAGTTAGCAGTCTAGCGCTTGACCGATACATTTTGAAAAAGATAAATAAAGTATTTCAAAAAATACAATATTGAATTTCCAGTTCACTTTTTTTCATTGTCAAATTATTGCGAAGTACTATAAAAAAGTTTCAGTTAAAATTAGTATCATATTATAACTACCTAGACTGTGTTTGGCTGTTAGATTTAGACCCTTATTCAGTAGATCTAGATCTAGATCTATATCTTGATTCCACTTTTGATTTCCAGCCTGATTTTAAAAAATAATTTTATTTGAAACTTATTCCGATAAGTATAGTTGTCTGGATCGCTTTACTCGACACAAAAGTGAAAGAAACCTTTTCAAACCAGGATATAATTTCAAATAAAAACTAGTAAGATAAACAAATATGACTAGATCTTGTATTCTGAAATTAATAATGAGCTGAATTGAATTTGTTTATTTACTAAGCATAAGTGAGTTCCGTTCAATACAGGACGCGCGCACTAAACGCTTTTGCACATCTAGACGGTGAGTAGATTTCTAAATACAATGGCTTGAATTGTCGTTCTTTAGGTGTTGCTTTAGAATGGGACGGAGTGGTCTAGCGGTAGAGAGCTGGACTGCTAACCCGTAAGTCTCGAGTTCGATTCCGGGTTCAAGTTGGCATACCGTCCCAACTCTGATGGGTACCTAACTCAGGTTAGGGAAAGTAAAGGCGGCTGGGCATAGTGCTGACCGCACTATCTCTTCATATGCCGAGGTCACAGAAACAAGTGAACTCTACTTCACTTGCCCCAAAGACCGTCAGGTTTGAAAGGAAAACTTAGACTGGAACAATGGAAGTGTTATTGTGTACACGGATTGTGTGAGCGAAACCGAAGTGCATTCGAATGCTCACGAGAAGGCGCGAGTTCGGACCTCAATCTGTAGGAAGTCGCTGAATCTACCCAGTCCAGATGTTTATCTGACTCATGCTTGGAAAAGCCCAGATCTTTACGTGGTACAATGTGCAATTTATATATATATATATATATATATATATATATACATATACAGAATAGTGCTTTATATTAGGAAAAAAATTCTAAATAAAAAAAATGAAAAAAAAATTAAAACCCTTAAAATAAGCATACAATCTACTTTGACTTTTATGACAAAAACAATGTGTCTTCTTCTTCGTTCTTAATTGAGAATATGGTGGAGGATTCAGACAACAAGTCCAACTTTGTGAACAAACCGGACTGTGGTCTCCAGTTTGGCAGGTGCCCCATATAATTTTTCCCTGAGTGGGGTGAGCAGGGGCCAGTGTCTGACTCGTGCCTGGCTGTACAAAGAACATTCCTGAAGGACGTGCTCCGTATTTTCCGGGGCCTTGCCACAAGGGCACATTTCGCCACACCCAACCTTTAGTTTTTTATGCATGTGTTGATTTAGTCTGTTATGGCCTGTTCTAAGTCGAAAGATTATGCATTGTTGTTTTCGTGTCAAATTATAATAGCCATCATCTTTATTGTAGTGAGGGTGTGTGTCAGACCACATTTGCGTTTGTTTGTTTTTTATTATCTATATATATAATTCTCTTCTGGGAGCCGTTATAAAACAAGCTGCAAGCGCGCCTTACAGTCCCTCTCTTCCTCTCTATCGCTACCTCCCCCCCCACCCCTACATGGTCTGGTGAGCTGTAGTTCACTCTAAATGTTTACATTTTACAATCATAGAGCCGGGTTTGGTGACGGCTATTAGGGGCAGATAATTTAGTTTGAAACGATTTTAAAGTTAGAGGAGGTAACTAAGAGGAGGCTGCTTTCACAGGGGGGGGGGGGGAGGAGGAGGGGGTTTAGTGTTTTAAAGCACATATTTTCAGTGGCACAAATTATGAATTACTGAAAAGTAGAAAAAACAACTAAATAGCGGCGTATGATACACCGCGGGTCGGCTCGTTCTTTTTATTTCTTTTGGGTGTAGCGAGATTTCCGGTTGTGGTTTCTTTCCCCCAATTTTTGCCAGCTGGTCTGCAATCTCGTTACCCTGGATCTGGCAGTGGCCCGGGATCCACTGCAGCACAATTCTGCTGCAGGTATTTTTTAGCCTTTCTAGTGCTGTCCAATGTGTCTGATCGTATAAAATTAACCAGTTAATCAAACTAATTAATTAGACAACGAAAGTAAAAGAAAACAGTAGGAAAATTAGGAAACATGCATACAATCTTTTAAAAATGTCTGAACATATGAAGTCTGTTAAATACATATTTAGTAAATGAAAGAAATTATCTAAAAGGATACTGCATGAATGAAATTAAAATACATAAAAAGACAAAACAAAGAAAAAAAAAACAACAACAAAAATCATTGTAGTCACAACACTATTGAATGTATAAAGTTTTTTATACTCAATAAATTTCATTGTATCACAATTGTTACACGTCTGTCGAAGATTCAAGTTTATCAAGGGAATCCGGAGAGCCTACTGAGGGTGTGAAGATACCCTCCTCTCGGAAGTAGTTGATGAGAGAGTCGTCTCTCAAGTTACAATCTGGGAGAGAGAGGGAGAGATTTAAAAAACAAATTACTATGGCATAAGTTATAGAAAGGAAAGAGTGAAATATTGGGCCATCATAACAAAATAAAATTGTGGAAAAAAAAAGTATTATCTTTACAATGTGGGATATAAATATTGAAATATTGGACCATCATAACATAATAAAATTGTGGGGAAAAAAGTATTAACTTTTACTATCTGAGAAGGGAGAATAGAAATATTTGACCATCACAATAAAATCAAATTTCTGAAAAAAAAAAGAAAAAACAAACCACTCGATTTATTTTTACAATCTAAGAGAAAGAGAGAGAGAGAATGAGAGAGAGAGAGAGAGAGAGAGAGAGAGAGAGAGAGAGAGAGAGGGGGGGGTAAAATATTAAATAATCTTAACAGAATACAAGTTTATGAAAACAACATTTTTTTTTTACAAACTATGTGAAAGTAAGTCGTAAAATATTAGACCATCACAACAAAATAAAAGTTAAAAAAAACCATTAAACTATTTCTGCAAACAGGGAGAGAGTGAAAGTGAAATATTTGCCCATTAAGAAGAAAACAAAATTGCTAAAAATAAAATGTAGAAAAGATATTCGCTTTTGTTTGAAAATAAAAATCAGAATAACAATTTAAAAATATTATCGCTATTGATCTTAAGATGTCTAGAAATAAACCATTTTTTTTTAATTTTTCGAATTCTGCATTTGTATTGTTTTTCAAACCAGAACCTCAAATAAGTGCCATTGCTATTCCCTAAATTGATAAGTGAATTATATAATATTATATAATATATATATATAATTATATAATTCTGTGTGTATAACCAGACTTACACTTTTCACAATGAAATTTTTATCAATATAAATTTCATAATTGATTATTTTTCCGACCAATTTATCGGAATATATGTATATTTATAAGCAGGCCTGCTATAAAATACAGAGTATCATTTTAAATAAAAGTAATTGTTTAAAAAATAATTATTAAAAAAATTCCAAACCATTTCGAAACCCAAAATAAAATCAACGCTAAAAAAGAAACCCTAAATAATACACACAAAAGAATTCTTTCTACAGACACAAACTAAGTCAACGTTTTATTTGTTAAAATTTTTACGCTAAGAGTATTTAAAAATATAAGTGTGCACATATTATATAAATCAGTAGGGTAGGAGGGGCAGTTCACTAATTTATGTTATATTAAATGGATGTTTTACAGAGGCGTAGCGACCCTTCCCGGCGCCCGGGGACAACCTCTCGATTTGCACCCGCCCCCCTTAAACTTTCGATTTCCACCCTCCTTCAACCTTTCAATTTGTTTTTCCAACCCATTTTGGCGATCCTAAGGTCGGCGCCCGGGGACATATGTCTCCCCGCCTCCCCCCTCGCTACGCCTCTGATGTTTTATGACAATATTAAAAAACACAGACTTGGATTTTCTACGTTTGTACTTTTCAAAATATTTTCATTGTATTACACATGTTGTCGAACTTGAATGATACAGTTAATTTACGCATTTAAAACATATTACAAAAACTGTAAAACTGTATTAAATAAGAGTATTGCATTATTTTTTATTTGAAAAATGTGTTTTTGTCTGGTCAGTGTTGATGAAAAAAAAATGTGTAACATTGTGATATTAATATCTTGGGTTATGTTATATAAAAAATTATATTTAACATAACAATCGATACAGACTACGTGTGTAACATTTCTGTTCTATAGAATAGGTGAACAGAGGCGTCGCGAGGCGGGGGCAGGGGTGCGGACCACACCAGGTGACACCCGACCTGGTGACGCCACTGTATGTGAACAAACCTAGTTGAATTCAATGTTGACTCTGTAAAATCGTTAGCCCATCCGCAACGAAACTAACGTTCAGTGTTTTACAAAACATCTTTAATTACATCAACTTACCGGTTACAAATCCAGAATCTATAAGCGAAGAATAATTTAATTTTAATTTTTATCAAACGAAGAGAAGCTTCTTGAAAAAAAAAGTAATTTAAAAAAAAATGTAAAATTACCAAGCACATAAAATTAACAATGTTAAAAATTTCTTATAATGTATATACAAAATATTTACTTCAATAATTTTCCGCCCTCCGGAAATTGATTTCCGCACCCCGGAAACTGAAGTAAGCGATCCGAAAATTGAGGTCTCGAATCCCCCCCCCCACCGGAAATAAAAATGTCTGAAAGAAACACTGAGCTAAGTAAATGATATGTTGCAAATTTCTGTAAGTTTTTTTTTTCCTGAACGTGTCAAGTGAAATATATTGCACTAGGGCTGGGTGTTCTAATAGATAAACAAGGCTATACATTGTAGGTGTGGATGCCGTTTACTAAATTTTGTTCAATGAATTTAGTCACGAGGTTACATAGTATCGATTTCCAAAACTAAATTACGTTTTTGCGTCGCTTACGTTACTTGTTCATAGATATTTTTGTATCAGTGTTTTTACCACTATGAACCTCATTAACAGTTACATGCGGAAATCAATTTCCGGAGGGCGGAAAATTATTGAAGTAAATATTTTGTATATACATTATAAGAAACTCTTGGTTTAATTAACTAGACGTACCCAAACGTTGTGACGTACTTGTTATAGTTTCCGACCTCTTAAAAAGAAGCGCCCTGAGCGGTGGGAAACTCTTCGCCAGGCTCTTCTTCAGCTCCCGCCGGAATAAACTTCCGAAGCAGCAGAAGGTCAGGAAGTTGGCCGCATGGCCAGTATATAACAGCATGGCCGAGTACGCCATACCTGGGGAAGCGTTGGTGGCCCTGGTTAAGTTGTATGCAATGTTGTTTTTTTTGTGTTGGTCAGTGGGGTAGGCCATGGGGGAGTGGTGTACAGGGGTGAAGGGGTGGATCTTAACCCACCCCTTTCTAAATAAAAGTTCTTAAAAGTTCTACAACTATTGGCGACGCTGCGTTGCTGTTGAATTATGTATACTATTTCAATAATTAATTATTTTTTAAAATTAATTTACAATTTTACTATATTATAGTTAACGAGCTGACCCGCGACGTAGCATACGCCGCTATTTAGTTTAATTCCTTATTTTTTTCAGTAATTCATAATTTGTGAATTCGACACTACCAATGATGCGACGGAAAATATGTTGCTTTAATAAAACACTATCAGTAGCTAGTGAAGGACGATTATCCCCACCCTCACTTTCCACATTATCTCCCCTTACTTTCAAATCATTTAAAAATTAAATTATCTGCCCCTAATAGCCGTCACTACGATTGTAAACAGCTCACCAGGCTGGTGGGGATGGGGCTGGTGGTGATATAATCTGTTGAGCTTACGTCTTGGTGTCTTGCATGGGCCCAATGAAGAGAATTATATAAATAGATTCTACTTTTCAGTAATTCATATTTTAAAAAAATTCAACACTACCAATGCTTCGACTGACAATATTTTGCTTTAAAACACTATCAGTAACTCGTTAAGGACGATTATCCTCCCCCCCCCCCCCCCTTCGTGAAAACTGACGTCCGTGACGACAGTTTACAGACAACGATGAAAAGACCAAGCATAACTTATAATTACCTCCCCTTAGCTTCAAATTGTTTAAAAACTGATTTATCAGCCCCTAATAGCCGTCACTTCTATTGAAAACATTCGGGGTGAACCACAGCTCACCTGACAGGTGGGGATGGGGGGGGGGTGGCTAAGCTGCGTGGTGTTTTCTATGGTCTCCATGAAGAGAATTATATATATAGAAGATATTGAATGAATATATATATATATATATATATATATATATATATATATATATATATATATATATATATATATATATATATATATATATATATATATATATATATATATATATATATATATATATATATATATCATGTAGATGATACTCCAGCCTTTAACGATAACAACGGGTAGGATTACCTAGCTTAGCTTTCTGGACTTCAAGCGGATCCGTCAAATCGAAGAGGACGGACACGGAGGTGTATAAGACTGCGAGCGGTATATTGGTGATAAAGAACATGCAGGTGGTGACCAGTATCAAGATATACAGTTGCTGTTTGACCACTGGAAGATAGGAGTAGGTAGGTCAAGTCAACATTGGGGAGATAGAGTTGGTGTAGAGAGAGGTAGACGAGAAGGTACATCTTTATTAGATTGGTTGTAAGTGATAAAACAGTAGACAGAGCAACATCGATCACTCTTGTTTAACGCCCGCTGTACCTTTCCTCTTTCTTCTTCTTCGTTCTTCATTTTTATTGTTGGAAGGGATCGAACTCGAGGCTTTTTGGTTTTACCGACTCGACCACGCCGACCCCTTTCCATCACAATTAAAGATACGTGTCAACTGGTTATGCGCCATTGAGGCCATTGACTCCGATTTCAGCCTGCTTTTCTTTTTGGATTTGCTTCCATAGCCTTTGTTCAACCAAGAACATGCTACAAGGCAGCAGTTGTTTGATTTTGGAGTTGTCTCTCCTAGAAGAGTGGCTGTTCCCAGCTAACGAGCCTCATCTGCCCGAGGGTTCGAACTCGAGACTTTTCGGTTTAGCAACCATGAGCTTTACCGACTCGACCACGCAGACCCACACTGTACCTTGCGTGTTCGACACATTGTTTGTGGTGCAATGCCACCTCTAGTTAACACACACACAGACACACACACACACACATGCACACATACATACACACATACAAACACACGTCAACAGCCATCGTGGTAGACACTTTTCTGTGGTGCCGTACCAAATCTAGTTAACACACACAAAACACAAAGCACACACACACACACACACAACACAGACACACAGGCACACACACACAAACACACGTCAACAACCATCGTGGTAGACACTTTTCTGTGGTGCCGTACCAAATCTAGTTAACACACACAAAACACAAAGCACACACACACACACACACAACACAGACACACAGACACACACACAAACACACGTCAACAACCATCGTGGTACACACTTTTCTGTGGTGCCGTTCCAACTCTAGTTAACACACAAAACACAACGCACACACACACACAAAACACAACGCACACACTCACAGACACACACACAAACACACGCCAACAACCATCGTGGTACACACTTTTCTGTGGTGCCGTTCCAACTCTAGTTAACACGCAAAACACAACGCACACACACACACACACAAAACACAGACACACAGACACACACACAAACACACGTCAACAACCATCGTGGTACACACTTTTTCTGTGGTGCCGTTCCAACTCTAGTTAACACACAAAACAAAACGCACACACAGACACACACAAAACACATCGCACACACACACAGACACACACGCAAACACACACGCGTCAACAACCATCGCTCACGTCTGTTTAACTTCCGCTGTACCATCGAGGTCGGGACCTTCCTGTGGTGCAGTATCGAGATGATGACATTCAGGACTGCGATCAAGACGGCGGGGATGAAAGCGAAGACGGACATGGAGAAGAAGGCGAACACATTGCCATTGGTGATTTCGCATTCCTTCAGGGCGCTGTGTAGGGTGGGTGGGGGTGGGTGGAGGACATGGGGTACAATGGGGTAAAATATTTTACATCAGTAGAGAAACCGGAAGTGAAAGAGAGAGAGAGAAATGTATGAATATTGGACACATGGGAATTACTTGGATGCAAATCTAGGATTCGAACCTTTTCCTTACGCTATGAATACAAATATAGGGTTCGATCTTTTCCCTTACCCAGTATATACAAACTTAGGGTTCGAACCTTTACCGTTGCCCAGTAAATACAAAGTTGGGATTCGAACCTTTGCCATAAACAGTAAATACAAATTTAGGGGTTCAAACCTTTGCCATACCCAGTAAATACAAATCTAGGATTCGAACCTTTGCCTTACCCAGTTTCTTCGTCAGAGAATATCCATGTACCAAGTGTAGTGAACATTCCCTGAGCGATAGCAATAGATGAGAAAATTAAGAAACTCCACGCGTAAAAATATGATGGACCTTTACTGGATCTGCGGTATTCATTATATATATATATATATAAATATATATATATAAATATATATATATATATATATATATATATATATATATATATATATATATATATATATATATATATATATATATATATATATATCAGTTCTTATGGATGAATGTAGCAACAAGTGAAATGACTATAACATAGTTTTTAAAGAATTACTTTAAATAAAATTTAAAAAAAAACTAATACTATTTTTAAGGTTGGCTTAGTGAAATAAAACCGTAAATATGAAGATCTTACTTTACCAAAACACCGTATGAAATGCCCAAACCTTTCTGGCTTAGCGATGTGTATGGCCCGCACTGCTGTGATCACGACCAGCAGCCAATTGGAGAAGGATATGGATACAAGGGTCATGTAGCTGTGCAAGCTGGAAGAAGTGGATACACAAGTTGTGGATACTCAATGTGGGTGTGAGCAAGTTGTGTATACATAAGATGGGTGTGAGCAAGTTGTGGATGCACATGTTGTGGATACACAAGTTGGGTGTGAGCAAGTTGTGGATACATAAGTTGGGTGTGAGCAAGTTGTGGATACATACGTTTTGGATACACAAGTTGTGGATACATAAGTTGGGTGTGAGCAAGTTGTGGATACATAAGTTGTGAATACACAAGTTGTGGATACACAAGTTGGGTGTGAGCAAGTTGTGGATACATAAGTTGGGTGTGAGCAAGTTGTGGATACATAAGTTTTGGATACACAAGTTGTGGATACATAAGATGGGTGTGAGCAAGTTGTGGATACACATGTTGTGGATACATAAGATGGGTGTGAGCAAGTTGTGGATACACAAGTTGGGTGTGAGCAAGTTGTGGATACATAAGTTTTGGATACACAAGTTGTGGATACATAAGTTGGGTGTGAGCAAGTTGTGGATACATAACTTTTGGATACACAAGTTGTGGATACACAAGTTGGCTGTGAGCAAGCTGTGGATACATACGTTTTGGATACACAAGTTGTGGATACATAAGATGGGTGTGAGCAAGTTGTGGATACACAAGTTTTGGATACACAAGTAGTGGATACATAAGTTGGGCGTGAGCAAGTTGATGCCTACGTTTTGGATGCGGTTGGATTATAAATGATAGATATATAGCATAGTGTATGCACTAACACATAGGAAATACGACAACGGAGATGGCAAAGCTGTAAAGAGATAAGACATTCAATGCGTAAATTATAGAAGTTGAGCTGGAGACAAGACAAACTAGACAAAAGACAGTCTAGACAGAGTCTATACAGAGTAAACACGAGCAAGAGAAAATACGAGACAGGCTAGACATAAGACAGGTTAGACATAAGACAGGCTAGACATAAGACAGGTTAGACATAAGACTAGCTAAAGATAAGACAGGCTAAAGATAAGACAGGATAGACATAAGACAGGCTAGACATAAGACAGACTAGACAATGGGATAGGCTAGGTGCATGACAGGTTAGACATAAGACAAGTTAGACATAAGACAGGTTAGACATAATATGCCAGGCTAGGTACAAGACATGCTAGAAATAAGACAGTCTTGACATACGACAGGCTAGGTAGAAGGTAGGTTCGACACAAAACACGAATCACAAGGTTTGTTTTTTTTATACCCACGACCTTTTACATCAGACCCCCCTCCCCCAACCCCCAGCCCCGCCTTCCCCACCCAATTACGCATAAACACGACTCACTAACAGACTTTGGTGGAGTAGAGACGGATATTGTAGTCGATCAGGCCCTCCACAAAGTGCCGCGTCAGCCCCACGAGAAGGCAGAAGATGTTCACAACGCACAGCACGACGAAAAGCTTTGAGACGAAGTTGTCTTTCATCGAGCGCTTGCGGAAGACCATGATGGTCAAAAGGTTGCCTGAAAATATAAACAAAACATATGATTGTTGTGTCATGTTTTTTTTTTAATTTATTCCTTGAGGTAATCCGTATTGAAAGTCTGGGTACGTTGCCTGAAAATATAAAACAACATACATGATTGTTTTGTCATGTTTTTTTTTAAATTTTATTCCTTGAGGTCATCCGTAGTGGAAGTCTGGGTAGAATTTTGAAATCCGTTTTAGTTTTAAAATGTGGGTCAATTTTCAATGACAATGCAATTATGTGTAATTTTTTTAAATATTTAAGATAATTCATTAAAATTGTAATATAATATTGATATATACATATTACATTTCTTTTAAATCTATTTTTAAATTTGATCTTTGATCAGTTTTTTTAAAGCATCCTGTGCCCTCGATACACATATTTAATCGGTTTCATTTTAATCGAAGGCTTTTTTTTTAAATTACGTGCACTAGGCAAGTTTGTGGCTCCTAAAATCTTAGAATATTAATTTAATTCATTTCTCCGTTTTTCGATTGAGCTGAGATTTGGCACGAAGCAAAATTTTGGAAAGCAATGCAATAATATATAATTTTTATTAATTTAATTAAAGGCTTTTTTTTAAAAATTTGGTAGTCTTCGTATCTTATGTCCTGTCTGTTTTCTGTCTAGCTTGTCTTACGTCTAGCTTATCTTATGTCCTGCCTGTTTTATGTCTAGCTTGTCTTATGTCTAGCTTATCTTATGTCCTGCCTTTCTTATGTTTAGCTTGTCAAATGCCAAGTCTGTCGAATGTCAAGCCTGTCGAATGTCAAGCCTGTCGAATGTCAAGCCTGTTTTATACCTAGCCTATTTTATTTAAAGTCTGTCTAGATATATAACATTTGCCCATGAATTACTTATTGTGTATAATTCAGTAATGCAGTTAACAATGAACTTTTAATTTATTTTTATTTTTCTACCCCGTTTGGGGTCCCCATACGGTGGAGCCTGGGGCGGTCGCCCCACCCGCCGCGGCACCGACCTGGAATTCCCAAAATGTACAGGATCACGGGCACGAAGATGAAGACGACTTTGCGGTGTATGTGGTAGTCATGAATCTCCTCGGTATCGGGGCTGGTGTGGTTGTGTTGGTCGAAGGCTACGTCCATGATGTTCTAGCCTGCTAGCCTGGTGTGGATCTCGCTTTCCTGTGGCATTGGCGGTTCTCGTGTTGAGCTGGGGGGGGGGGGGATGGAGGGGTTGTAAGAATGAAAATGTTTGTGATTTAGCCTATAGCCAGCCAGATGACTTTTTTTTTTTTTTTTTTTTTTTTTTTTTTTTTTTTTTTTGTAAAAGCACTGACTAGAAGCTCTTCAGAGCAAGTGTTTACAAAATGTGTTCAGAACCTTCAGGTCAAGCACTACCGCAAATTAGCACTTACGTGCATGGTTTATTTTGAACGCGGGTGTGCCTTAAGGTACGTAGGTTTACATGCGCCAGACTGTATACTGCCTACTAGAAATTAAGATGAAGGTGCGCTACGCCTGGACTGAAACCTGATCCTAACATTAACTTTAACCTAAAAGTAAAGCCTGGGCATAGTGCTGACCACACAACCCCTTCAAATACCAAGGTCACAGAAACAGGTGAGCTCTACTTCACTGTCCCCGTGGGAGTTCGTGTTCGAACTTTAATTCAAAGCATTTTGTAGTACGAAGTTAGATTCAGGGGCGTAGCGAGGGAAGGGTGTGCGGACCGCACCGGGTGTACAATTTAGGGGGGTGACACCACGGCAAAAAAAAATGGCATAATATATAGGGAAAAATGATAATTCCACTTATCATTAAATGATTAATTCGAGTGTTACATAGTCTTTTAAGAGGTGCAAATCGAAAGCTTGAGGGGGGTGCAAATCGAAATTCACGCACAAAATTAGGCATCTTGATTCTTTTCTTGTAACATGATCTTCAATTTCTATAAAATAACTGAAAATTGAAAGTAAGTCCTTTAGTAATTTAGCTACTTACCACTCCTCTTAAAATATAGCAGATAGATCTAGATCTAGATCTACTTTCTTATAATCTCATAATACTTTCTTCGCATTTACAAGCAATGCTTTATATATATGCGTTAAAATATCATATATGGTTATTAATAAACAAAAACTGATCTATAGGTAATTATCTTCTGTATTCAAACCTCTTTTTCCAGGTTAAATGACGTTTGGAAAGAGAAATTGCCTAAATTATCTGCGTTAAGTTGGTTCGACAGAGGGAAAAATAAACATTGTGATTACTTGATGTTCATTGGCGGTGTTGTGTAGTGCGCACTAAACCCGATCTTTGGCGTGGTGTAATATAGTGTACGAGCCGACCCGCGGCGTATCATACGCCGCTATTTAGTTTTATTTTCTACTTTTCAGTAATTAATAATTTGTGAATTCGACAGTACCATTGCTGCCACTGAAAATATTTTCTTTAAAACACTATCAGTAGCTCGTTAAGGACGATAACCCCAGCCTCCTTTCCCCTCCCCCCCCCCCCCCGTAAAAGCAAACTCCTCTTAGCTACCTATCCTATGTTTAAAATTGTTTCAAACTAAATTATCTGCCCCTAATAGCCGTCACTAAACCCGGCTCTACGATTGTAAACATTTAGCGTGGACCACATCTCACCAGACCATGTAGGGGTGGGGGTGGTAGGGAGAGCGCGCTTACAGCTTTGTGTTTTTTATGATCTTTAAGAAGAGAATTATATATATAGAAATATAGATACAAGATGAATTTTAGAGTTAGGTTAGGTTTGCCTGTCGTCCCTACTGTGACATAGGCCGCTGACAAGAGCTTTCCAGACGTCTCTGTCCTAGGCTAGTCTCTCCAACTGTCCGCAGGTGTATCCAATCTTCTTGGTGTCTTAAATCCTCCATCGGGAGATCCATTCTTCCCCTGGTCCGAGCTGTCTTTGTTTTTCTTTGTCTGTAGCGAGTAATTAGTTTTACGATATAATGTTGCTGACCTTATGCTCAACCCCCAACCTGGAGGACCGGGGTGCTAGCTTTCGTCTGACCAATACCCGTGCAGCTTGGTTGAACCTGCCAGGAGTTAACACTCCCGCTGGTATAGCTATGGGGGTCGTCAGGGTACGCAAGCTGCCAAGCCACGACAAGGCCCAGATGACAGGAATTTTAGCGTACTTTAATGCAATGAATACAATCATTGTTGACATGGTACAGTGTGTTCAATACAATCATCTTTGGCGTTGTGTATTGTGTTTAATACAATCATTGTCGGCGTTGTGTAGTGTGCTCAATACAATCATCTTTGGCGTTGTGTAGTGTGTTTAATACAACAATCTTTGGCGTTGTGTTGTATGCTTAATACAATCATCTTTGGCGATGTGTCGTGTGCCCAATACAATTACCTTTGGCATTATGTTTTGTGATTAATGCAGTCATCTTTGGCGATGCGTGTTTTGAGACCAATACGGTCATCTTCAGTGTTGTGTAGACATAGACCTACGTGACCAGAGACCCTCGTGACCAAAGACCAAAGTTTCTACAGACCTACGTGACCAAAGACTTTTGTCTACAGACCTACATGACCTGAGACCTACGTGACCAGGTACCTACGTGAACAGATACTCATGTGAAAAGTTACGTCAAACACGACACGTCGACACAGAGCAATTGTTTTCTTAACTCGCAGAGTTCCACACACTTGCCATAACTGTGATATTAATCCCGTGTCTTCAATCATCAGACTCAAGGATTAACCATCCTCTTTATACATCTAGCGGAAGAGTTGATAGTTAGATGGTCTTCTGTCTTCAATCATCAGACTCAAGGATTAACCATCCTCTTTATACAAATAAAAGGAAGAGTTGATAGTTAGATGGTCTTCTGTCTTCAATCAACATACTGAAGGATTAATTATCCTCTTTATTCATCTAGCGGAAGAGTTTTTAGTTAGGTAGTCTTGTGTTTTCAAATGTCAGACTCAAGGATTAACCATCTTTTTTATACATCTAGCGGAAGAGTTGATAGTTAGATGGTCTTCTGTCTGTAATCGTCAGACTCAAGGATTAACCATCCTCTTTATACATCTAGCGGAAGAGTTGATAGTTAGATGGTCTTCTGTCTTCAATCGTCAGACTCAAGGATTAACCATCATCTTTATACATCTAGCGGAAGAGTTGATAGTTAGATGGTCTTCTGTCTTTAATCGTCAGACTCAAGGATTAACCATCATCTTTATACAAATAAAAGGAAGAGTTGATAGTTAGATGGTCTTCTGTCTTTAATCGTCAGACTCAAGGATTAACCATCCTCCTTACCCATCAAGGGAAGAGTTGATAGTTAGATGGTCTTCTGTCTTCACTCGTCAGACTCAATGATTAACCATCCTCCTTACACATCAAGGGAAGAGTTGATAGTTAGATGGTCTTCTGTCTTCACTCGTCAAACTCAAGGATTAACCAACCTCTTTATACATCAAAGGAAGAGTTGATAGTTAGATGGTCTTCTGTCTTTAATCGTCAGGCTGAAGGATTAACCATCCTCTTTATACATCTAGCGGAAGAGTTGATAGTTAGATGGTCTTCTGTCTGTAATCGTCAGGCTGAAGGATTAACCATCCTCTTTATACATCTAGCGGAAGAGTTGATAGTTAGATGGTCTTCTGTCTTTAATCGTCAGACTCAAGGATTAACCATCCTCTTTATACATCAAAGGAAGGGTTGATAGTTAGATGGTCTTCTGTCTGTAATCGTCAGACTCAAGGATTAACCATCCTCTTTATACATCTAGCGGAAGAGTTGATAGTTAGATGGTCTTCTGTCTTTAATCGTCAGACTCAAGGATTAACCATCCTCTTTATACATCTAGCGAAAGAGTTGATAGTTAGATGGTCTTCTGTCTTTAATCGTCAGACTCAAGGATTAACCATCCTCTTTATACATCAAAGGAAGGGTTGATAGTTAGATGGTCTTCTGTCTTCAATCACCTGACTCAAGGATTAACCATCCTCTTTGTACATCAAAGGAAGGGTTGATAGTCCCAGCATCATTGACTGTTTATCCATTATATTAGCGAAAATGTTCCGGTATATTTTAAAGATCTTAGTATCACATCCCGTACTAGAGTGGTAGGGCTATTCTGAGTTCACCCAGCTCAAATAAGTACATTGCTCACGATAAGTAACGTAACAGGCAGCTGGACATTTCATTAACCATATTATCCCTACCTGCGACTGATAGTCGAGTAGTAGTGCGGTAAACTGCTAACCCAAAGGTCTTGAGTTCGGATCTCTGGTCTGGGCTCGTAACTGCCGGTCGTACCTGAGTCCACCCAGCTCTGATGGGTACCTAACTTACGTTGGGGACAGTTTAGACGATTGTTAAGATGCTGACCACACCATCTTTTCATATGCCGAGATCAAGAACAAAATGAACTCTTCTTCATCTACCGATCTTTAGGTAAAAAAATTGCAACTTTACTAGTTAAATATCCCTAAATATACCGAGGTGTCCGAAAAATTCATTTTTCTTTCATACTTTCGAAATTAAACACCACATCTTTATTAAATTGCATCTACTGAATTATAAACTCGTCTTATCATATACACCAAACTCAAAAGAAAACAATCTACTCCCAAAAGTGTGGATCATTCATTTACTACAGATATATCAAACGTCAAGCAAAAGAAATAAAAATAAAATAAACAACAACAACGCATTAAACCGGTGACGATTCGTCAATGCTAGAGATAGTGCTGAGCCTTCTGTGGTCAGGCTTGCCGTGGGTGAAGGTCCGTTCTGAAGAGTACCTTCTATCGTGGAGGGGATTGTCGAAGATGTTCATGAAGGATATCCTCGGGACGGAGGCCGTCACGTTCTCAGCACCTGGGAGGGTAGTAGGGGGTGCTTGAGGAGGTGTTGGGGGTGGGTGTGAAAGGGGAGGGTTGGTAGTGAGGAGTGGAGGGTTGGAGTGGTTGTTGTAAGAGGGAGGTGTGAGGGGATGTAGTGAGGGGGGTGTAGTGAGGGGGTGGTAGTGAGGGGGTGGTAGTGAGGGGGTGGTAGTTAGTGGGTGATAGTAAGGGGGTGGTAGTGAGGGGGTGGTAGTGAGGGGATGGTAGTGAGTGGGTGGTAGTGAGGGGGTGGTAGTGAGGGGGTGGTAGTGAGGTGGTGGTAGTGAGTGGGGTGGTAGATAGGGGGTGGTAGTCAGGGGGTGGTAGTCAGGGGGTGGTAGTGAGGTGGTGGTAGTGAGTGGAGTGGTAGATAGGGGGTGGTAGTCAGGGGGTGGTAGTCAGGGGGTGGTAGTGAGGGGGTGGTAGTGAGGGGGTGGTAGTGAGGGGATGGTAGTGAGTGGGTGGTAGTGAGGGGGTGGTAGCGAGGTGGTGGTAGTGAGTGGGGTGGTAGATAGGGGGTGGTAGTCAGGGGGTGGTAGTGAGGGGGTGGTAGTGAGGGGATGTAATGAGGGGGATGTAGTGAGGGGTGGCAGATAGGGGAGAGTTTAGTGAGGGGGTGGTAGTGAGGGGGTGGTAGATAGGGGGTGGTAGTGAGGGGATGGTAGTGCGTGGTGGTAGTGAGGGGGTGGTAGTGAGGGGGTGGTAGTGAGGTGGTGGTAGTGAGGGGGTGGTAGATAGGGGGTGGTAGTGAGGGGGTGGTAGTCAGGGGGGGTAGTGAGGGTTGGAGGATGTAGTGAGGTGGTGGTAGTGAGGGGGAGAATGTAGTTAGGGGGGGATGTGGTAAATGGATGGTGGTGAGGCAGGGAGGGTTGTAATGAGGGGATGGTAGTTAGGGGGTAGTACTGAGGATGTGCAGTTGGAGCGGTATAGTTGTAAGAGCAAAGTAGTAAGCAAGAAGTGTAGTAGAAGATGTAGCTACGAATACAACTAGAGCTAAAGGCAACAGTGGACTGGCTGTCTAAGCGTCCCTGGACATAAATTAAAGTCCCCCCCCCCTCGTCACTTAATTTTCCTTAGCGCATTTTTATTTAATCCCAACGTAACTGGTCACTTTACAATACATAAATAACAAATCGTATTGGTTAATTAAATAAGCTCATTCTAAAATATAATCAAAGCACGTTTGATTCCATTACAGCACTAACGCGCAGGGGCGGAACTACAGTGCCGCCAGACCCCGCAATGCGGTGGGGCCCAGACCGAATGGGGGCCCAAAAATCCCGGCTAAATTATTTTTAAAAAAAAATTTAAAATAAAAAATTTAAAAAAAAAAAAAAAAAATAGGTGGAGGTCGAGTTATCTTTTATCTACAGTTACAAAAAAACACGATAGTCGGCAAACGTCTTTGAAAAAAAATGTACAGACTATAGCTCGAGAGACCGCCAGACATATAGACAACTTCAAAGACGCAGGGGCGAAACTACAGTGCCGCCAGACACCGCAATGCGGGGGAGGGGGGCAGACCGATTGGGGGCCCAAAAATCCTGGCTAAATTATTTTTAAAAAAATGTAAAAAAAGAATTAAAACAAAAAAAAAATTAAATTTTTTTTTTTTAAAATTAGGTGGAGGTCGAGTTATCTTTCTTCTACAGTTACAAAAAAACACGATAGTCGGCAAATGTCTTTGAAAAACATGTACAGAATATAGCTCGAGAGACCGCCAGACATATAGACAACTTCAAAGACGCAGGGGCGGAACAACAGTGCCGCCAGACACCGCAATGCGGGGGGGGGGGGGGGCAGACCGATTGGGGGCCCAAAAATCCTGGCTAAATTATTTTTTAAAAAAATGTAAAAAAAAAAAAATTTAAATTAATTTTTTTTTTTTAAATTAGGTGGAGGTTGAGTTATCTTTCTTCTACAGTTACAAAAAAACACGATAGTCGGCAAACGTCTTTGAGAAAAATGCACAGACTATAGCTCGAGAGACCGCCAGACATATAGACAACTTCAAAGACGTAGCCTACCTTTTTACTTTTAGTGGCGTCGATTAGGAGAACAAAAAAGGATTGTTATATTGTTTACATTATTAAATATATATATATATATATATATATATATATATATATATATATATATATATATATATATATATATATATATATAAATATATATGTATATATATATATATATATATATATATATATATATATATATATATATATATATATATATATATATATATATATATATATATATATATATATGATTGTGTGTTTAAACTACTGGCCTGGACTCTACAAAAAATTTAATTATTTATTTCGATGTCATACATTTATAATTGCGTTCATTTTTACTTTAACAACTGTATCAATAAACTTGTGAAAGTTTAAGTTATCTCCCTTTAGCGAAGCATCTGAAGTTTTTGCCGGCACGCTTTGAAATCGGGCTGGGGAAATGTTGCGGCGACTATTCTGGTCTTCTAGACGACCGGAAAAAGTCGGCACTATTGATGTAGATGTTTATCGGCACTTTCTAGTCCCCTTCCCTTGAACCTTCCCAACTCTCACCCCTCCCCCCTCACCCCCCTCTCACCCCTACCCCTCACCTCTACCCCTCACCACACCCTTACTCTTACAATAAGATGTAATGCATAGATTAACGAACCGTCTATGAACTACTGAGCTGTAAACTGACCACTTCTGCACATTTTGTTAAAGACACTAGTCAGTAGTTGTTCATTTACCTGATGAAGTATTTTGTTGACGAGTCTAATTCACACAACAAGGAAGGTAAGGCTCGTCTTTATATTATTAATTGTTTTATAATTAGTACACGTATTAATTGAACATTAGTTATTAACACTAAATACATTAAAGTTAATCAAATTTAGGATACAATGATCTAGCTTTTAAGCCTAAAAACAACCAAAAGATCTATATCACCTTTGAATGTATTAATGTTTAATTTCATGTTTAGCCCGTAACGGGGAGGGGTTATATTCGGTTATAATATGGGTGGGTCTTTGGCAGTGTTTCTTCCAGACTTTTTTCTTCGGGGGGGGGGGGGACTTGAAATTTTCGGAGGGGGGGGGCGGGCACTGTTAAAAGTATATATTTTCTATATAAATTATATAAATTTAATTTCTTTCGGGGGGGGGGGGGCGGGGGGTGCGGACCGCACCGGGTGACACCATTTAGGGGGTGACACCAAGGCAAAAAATAGCAAAATATATAGAGAAAAACTCGAGGGGGGGTGCAAATCGAAAGTTAGAGGGGGGGTGCAAATCGAAAACTTGAGGGGGGGGGGGGGTGCAACTCGAAAACTTGAGGGGGGGGTGCAAATCGAAAATTTGAAAGTTTGTCCCTGGGAAGGGTCTCTATGCCTCTGGGGGGGGGGTGACACCATTAAGTGCCGCACCGGGTGACACCCGACCTCGCTACGCCACTGCACCCGATATATATATATATATATATATATACATATATATACATATATATATATATATAGGGGCCTAAAAAATTTTTTTGCGGGGGGGCCATTTTTTTCTAGTTCCGCCACTGCTAACGCGTACTGTCTACAATGATTACTTCCGGAGTCCTGGTGGCTCAGTCCACCCCTGTGTAACGGTATTATGAATAACTATCTATATATATAATTCTCCTCTTGGAGACGACAGAAAACACCAAGCTGTAAGCGCGCTCCCTGCCACCCCCACCTCTACATGGTCTGGTGAGCTGGAGGGGGGGGGATATTGTCCTTAACGAGCTACTGATAGTGTTTTAAAGCAAATATTTTCAGTGGCAGCGTTGGTACTGTCGAATTCACAAATTATGAATTACTAAAAAGTAGAAAATAAAACAACTAAATAGCGGCGTATGATACGCCGCGGGTCGGCTCGTTCTTGATAATAAACATTGTTCTCCTCCTTCGTTTTTAATTTTACTGTTGGACGGGAATTCCTCCAATATAGTTAAGTGTTACGTGCCAACTTGTTATATGTCGTGTTATATGACTTTGATTTCAGCCTGCTTTTCAATTTTTTTTTTGCTTCCATAGCCTTTGTCAAACGAAGAACAAAATACAAAACAGCAGTTGTTTGATTTTGGAGTTGTCTTTCCTAGAAGAGTTGCTTTCCTTAGCTATTGAGCCTCATCTGCCCGGTGGTTTGAACTCGGTACTTTTCAGTTCAGCAGCCATGAGCTTTATAAACACGACTACACCGACCCACTTAACTGTTCCGATTCTACCCCTGTAAATCATTATGCTAATGCGAGCCACGTAATAATTCTGATTATACCGCCCTCCCCCCCCCCTTCCTCCAATCATCCTGTTAAAGCTACCCACAACGGTTCCGATCCTACCCCACTAAATCGTCTCGCTTATGCGAGCCACGTAATAATTCTAATTATACCCATACCTTCCTGCTTTTGCGAGCCAATTAACTATTCCGATTCCACCACACCCCACGTTCCCCACCCCATCATTCTGCTAATGCGAGCCACTTAATTCTGTTTCTAAACTATACTATCCTGCTAATGTGAGCCACTTAATTCTTTTTCTAAACTATACTATCCTGCTAATGCGAGCCACGTAATACTTCTATTTCTACACTATACTATCCTGCTAATGCGAGCCATTTAATTCTGATTATACACTATACTATCCTGCTAATGCGAGCCACTTAATTCTGATTATACCCTATACTATCCTGCTAATTCGAGCCACTTAATTCTGTTTCTACACTATACTATCCTGCTAATGCGAGCCACCTTATTCTGATTATACCCTATACTATCCTGCTAATGCGAGCCACGTAATAATTCTGTTTCTACACTATACAATCCTGCTAATTCGAGCCACTTAATTCCGCTTTTACCCTATACTATCCTGCTAATGCGAGCCACTTAATTCTGATTATACCCTATACTATCCTGCTAATGCGAGCCACGTAATAATTCTGTTTCTACACTATACTATCCTGCTAATGCGAGCCACTTAATTCTGTTTCTACACTATACTATCCTGCTAATGCGAGCCACTTAATTCTGATTATACCCTATACTATTCTGCTAATGCGAGCCACTTAATTCTGTTTCTACACTATACTATCCTGCTTATGCGAGCCACGTAATAATTCTGTTTCTACACTATACTATCCTGCTAATGCGAGTTCTGTTTCTACACTATACAATCCTGCTAATGCGAGCCACTTAATTCTGATTATACCCTATACTATCCTGCTAATGCGAGCCACTTACTTCTGATTATACCCTATACTATCCTGCTAATGCGAGCCACTTAATTCTGTTTCTACACTATACTATCCTGCTAATGCGAGCCACGTAATAATTATGTTTCTACACTATACTATCCTGCTAATGCGAGCCACTTAATTCTGATTATACCCTATACTATCCTGCTAATGCGAGCCACTTAATTCTGTTTCTACACTATACTATCCTGCTAATGCGAGCCACTTAATTCTGATTATACCCTATACTTTCCTGCTAATGCGAGCCACGTAGTAATTATGTTTCTACACTATACTATCCTGCTAATGCGAGCCACTTAATTCTGTTTCTACACTATAGTATCCTGCTAATGCGAGCCACTTAATTCTGTTTCTACACTATACTATCCTGCTAATGCGAGCCACTTAATTCTGTTTCTACACTATACTATCCTGCTAATGCGAGCCACTTAATTCTGTTTCTACCCTATACTATCCTGCTAATGCGAGCCACGTAATAATTATGTTTCTACACTATAGTATCCTGCTAATGCGAGCCACTTACTTGCAGACTGACTATAGGAAATCTCTAACGTCGACTCCACCCAACGACTGTCATTTTTGCAACAGACTTTCAAACACGGCCGGAAAATTCTCCGCAGCTCGGCCCGGAAGTGGTCTCCGAAGAAACAGTAGATGACAAAGTTGACGGAGTAGTTCGTGTACACCAATATGGCGGACACGTTGTAAACTGGGAGTGGAAGATACATGGATACAGCAAGTAGAGGAGGTATTTAATACTGCCAGCATAATGTATATTGTATATCGAACTTTGAACAGACTGTGAATGTATAAAAAGGGAAGTAATGCATTTTTCTATTTGACACGAATTAAAGTGTGGTAGAAAACATCCATACATATTAATATACTTTTATATACATGAGCAAATGAAGTAGAGTTCACCTGTTTTTCTGACCTCGACATATGAAAGGATAGTGTGGTCACCAATATGCCCAGCCCCCTTTTTCCTGGATGGGCTATTAACTTCAACCCGGATTCAAACTCGAGACTTTCGGGTTACCAGTTCAGCCCTCTACTGCTGGGCCACACCATCCCTTATATACATGTGTGTACGTGGGTGCAACCCCCTCAAACTTACGATTTTTACCCCCCCCCCTCATACTTTATATATATATATATATATATATATATATATATATATATATATATATATATATATATATATATATATATATATATATATATATATATATATATATATATATATATATATATATATATATCTCCATACCCAAAAAAAAAAAAATCTTTCTTTTTCTTTCGGCACCTCCACCCCCCCCCCCACCCCTCCGCCATAGGACAGAGATACCTACAAACTGTGTATTTCGTCCTGCCGAGATCCGTGTTGTCGAAGAGCCTCTCCCCCAGCGCGTACTGGATGGCGTACGGCAGCTCCAGGATCAGGATCTGGACGTCACACACAAACAGGATGTACGCCAGCAGGTGCATGACTGAAACATAAAGAGTCATAGTTACAGGCGTGACCATAAAAAGTCATAGTTACAGGCGCGACCACATAGAGTCATAGCTACAGGCTCGCTCACAGAAAGTCATAGTTACATGCTGGACCACAAAGATTTATAGTTACAGGCGCGCCCACAGAGAGTCATAGTTACAGGCTCGACCACAGACAGTCATAGTTACAGACGCGCTCACAAAGAGTCATAGTTACAGGCGCGACCACAGGCGGTCATAGTTACAGGCGCGACCACAAAAAGTCATAGTCAAAGGCTCGACCACAGAAAGTCACAGTTACAGGCGCGACCACAGACGGTCATAGATAAAGCTCGAACACAGAGAGTCATTGTTATAGGCTCGCCCGCAGAGAGTCATAGTCAAAGGCTCGACCACAGAAAGTCATAGTTACAGGCTCGACCACAGAAAGTCATAGCTACAGGCTCGCCCACAGAGAGTCACAGTTACAGGCGCGACCACAGAGAGTCATAGTTACAGGCGCGACCACAGAGAGTCATAGTTAAAGGCTCGGCTACAAAGAGTAATAGGTACAGGCTCGCTCGCAGTGCGTCATAGTTATAGGCTCGGTAGAAATGTACATGGATTCTTTTTTAAAAAAAGGTCGGAGAACCAAATATTTAACCTCCCTCCTTCCTCCTCCCCCCCCCCCCCCCCGAAAGTGATAGCTGTAAATTGTACACTGTCAATAGTAACGATTTAATCCGTATTTATACGGCTGAAAGAAGCATTGTTTTCTCTATTATTAGCAGTTTCAAATCGTGGTGTCACACCCCCCCCCCCCCCTTCCTCCATGTCGAAATTTTCAATCTACACTTAAAAGACTTTTTATCTCTAACTAATCATTAACTTAACTGCCAAAAAGCTTTTTTTCTTTTACACATTTTGCAATTTTTTTGTCTTGGTGCCACCCCCCCGCCCCTAAATGGTGCCACCCTATGCGTTCCGTACCCCCGCCTCCTAGAAGAACGGCACACATACAAAAACAGACAGAAGAAGCAAGCAAAATAAAACCCTGTCAAAAAAATAAAGAATAAAAAGGTACTTCTTTCTTTCTTCCTAGCAATGGCCGAGTCGTCAATGGTGTCCGGTTTTCGATTGACTGTAATGATGATACAAACGTTGAAGATGAGGATGAGGATGCCAGGAATGAAGTAGAACATGGTGACCTGTATCAAATGCACGTGACCGCCATGGTTGATCCCGCAGTACTTGAGGCGACTTATGAAGTTTGAAAGACCAAATGGATTCAGTTAACACATCAAGTGTTGGTAGAATGGTAAGCGTAATAAAAATAATGTGTCACTGTTGCATTTTAGAGATAGAACAACGACATCAACAAAATCGAAACTGGCATTTGGAAATACGACATTAACAAAGAACAATGACATCAACACAACCTTAAGTGACATTTGGAAATACGACATTAACAAAGAACAATGACATCAACACATTTTAAACTGATATTTGGAAATACGACATTAAAAAATAACAATGACATCAACACAACCTAAAGTGACATTTGGCAACACGACATTAACAAAGAACAATGACATCAACACGACCTAAAGTAACATTTGGAAATACGACATTAACAAAGAACAATGACATCAACACAACCTAAACTGACATTTGGAAATACGACATTAAAAAATAACAATGACATCAATTCAACCTAAAGTGACATTTGGAAATACAACATTAACAAAGAACAATGACATCAACAAACCTAAAATGACATTTGGAAATACGACATTAAAAAATAACAATGACATCAATTCAACCTAAAGTGACATTTGGAAATACAACATTAACAAAGAACAATGACATCAACAAACCTAAAATGACATTTGGAAATACGACATTAACAAAGAACAATGACATCAACACAACCTAAAGTGACATTTGGAAATACGACATTAACAAAGAACAATGACATCAACACATTCTAAAATGACATTTGGAATTACGACATTAACAAAGAACAATGACATCAACACAACCTAAAATGACATTTGGAAATACGACATTAACAAAGAACAATGACATCAACACATACTAAAGTGACATTTAACCATATGACATGCAAATGTACCCATTTCCCAGTTTGACCATGGTGTACTGGTTACTGGAAGTCAGCACTTCGAATATGGTGAAGAATGTGATCAAGGTGAACATGATCGTGTGGATGGCTGCCTTGGTACATATGCCATTGGCTCTGTGGATGAAGAATGTGATCAAGGTGAACATGATCGTGTGGATGGCTGCCTTGGTACATATGCCATTGGCTCTGTGGATAAAGAATGTGATCAAGGTGAACATGATCGTGTGGATGGCGGCCTTGGTACATATGCCATTGGCTCTGTGGATGAAGAATGTGATCAAGGTGAACATGATAATGTGGATGGCGGCCTTGGTACATATGCCATTGGCTCTGTGGATGAAGAATGTGATCAAGGTGAACATGATCGTGTGGATGGCGGCCTTGGTACATATGCCATTGGCTCTGTGGATGAAGAATGTGATCAAGGTGAACATGATCGTGTGGATGGCGGCATTGGTACATATGCCATTGGCTCTGTGGATGAAGAATGTGATCAAGGTGAACATGATCGTGTGGATGGCGGCATTGGTACATATGCCATTGGCTCTGTGGATAAAGAATGTGATCAAGGTGAACATGATCGTGTGGATGGCGGCATTGGTACATATGCCATTGGCTCTGTGGATGAAGAATGTGATCAAGGTGAACATGATCGTGTGGATGGCTGCCTTGGTACATATGCCATTGGCTCTGTGGATGAAGAATGTGATCAAGGTGAACATGATCGTGTGGATGGCGGCCTTGGTACATATGCCATTGGCTCTGTGGATGAAGAATGTGATCAAGGTGAACATGATCGTGTGGATGGCGGCATTGGTACATATGCCATTGGCTCTGTGGATGAAGAATGTGATCAAGGTGAACATGATCGTGTGGATGGCTGCCTTGGCACATATGCCATTGGCTCTGTGGATGAAGAATGTGATCAAGGTGAACATGATCGTGTGGATGGCGGCCTTGGTACATATGCCATTGGCTCTGTGGATGAAGAATGTGATCAAGGTGAACATGATCGTGTGGATGGCGGCATTGGTACATATGCCATTGGCTCTGTGGATGAAGAATGCGATCAAGGTGAACATGATCGTGTGGATGGCGGCCTTGGTACATATGCCATTGGCTCTGTGGATGAAGAATGTGGTCAAGGTGAACATGATCGTGTGGATGGCTGCCTTGGTACATATGCCATTGGCTCTGTGGATGAAGAATGTGATCAAGGTGAACATGATCGTGTGGATGGCGGCCTTGGTACATATGCCATTGGCTCTGTGGATGAAGAATGTGATCAAGGTGAACATGATCGTGTGGATGGCTGCCTTGGTACATATGCCATTGGCTCTGTGGATGAAGAATGTGATCAAGGTGAACATGATCGTGTGGATGGCGGCCTTGGTACATATGCCATTTGCTCTGTGGATGAAGAATGTGATCAAGGTGAACATGATCGTGTGGATGGCTGCCTTGGTACATATGCCATTGGCTCTGTGGATGAAGAATGTGATCAAGGTGAACATGATCGTGTGGATGGCGGCCTTGGTACATATGCCATTGGCTCTGTGGATGAAGAATGTGATCAAGGTGAACATTATCGTGTGGATGGCTGCCTTGGTACATATGCCATTGGCTCTGTGGATGGAGAATGTGATCAAGGTGGACATGATCGTGTGGATGGCGGCCTTGGTACATATGCCATTGGCTCTGTGGATGAAGAATGTGATCAAGGTGAACATGATCGTGTGGATGGCGGCCTTGGTACATATGCCATTGGCTCTGTGGATGAAGAATGTGATCAAGGTGAACATGATCGTGTGGATGGCTGCCTTGGTACATATGCCATTGGCTCTGTGGATGAAGAATGTGATCAAGGTGAACATGATCGTGTGGATGGCGGCCTTGGTACATATGCCATTGGCTCTGTGGATGAAGAATGTGATCAAGGTGAACATGATCGTGTGGATGGCTGCCTTGGTACATATGCCATTGGCTCTGTGGATGAAGAATGTGATCAAGGTGAACATGATCGTGTGGATGGCGGCCTTGGTACATATGCCATTGGCTCTGTGGATGAAGAATGTGATCAAGGTGAACATGATCGTGTGGATGGCTGCCTTGGTACATATGCCATTGGCTCTGTGGATGAAGAATGTGATCAAGGTGAACATGATCGTGTGGATGGCGGCCTTGGTACATATGCCATTGGCTCTGTGGATGAAGAATGTGATCAAGGTGAACATGATCGTGTGGATGGCTGCCTTGGTACATATGCCATTGGCTCTGTGGATGAAGAATGTGATCAAGGTGAACATGATCGTGTGGATGGCGGCCTTGGTACATATGCCATTGGCTCTGTGGATGAAGAATGTGATCAAGGTGAACATGATCGTGTGGATGGCTGCCTAGGTACATATGCCATTGGCTCTGTGGATGAAGAATGTGATCAAGGTGAACATGATCGTGTGGATGGCGGCCTTGGTACATATGCCATTGGCTCTGTGGATGAAGAATGTGATCAAGGTGAACATGATCGTGTGGATGGCTGCCTTGGTACATATGCCATTGGCTCTGTGGATGAAGAATGTGATCAAGGTGAACATGATCGTGTGGATGGCGGCCTTGGTACATATGCCATTGGCTCTGTGGATGAAGAATGTGATCAAGGTGAACATGATCGTGTGGATGGCGGCATTGGTACATATGCCATTGGCTCTGTGGATGAAGAATGTGATCAAGGTGAACATGATCGTGTGGATGGCTGCCTTGGCACATATGCCATTGGCTCTGTGGATGAAGAATGTGATCAAGGTGAACATGATCGTGTGGATGGCGGCCTTGGTACATATGCCATTGGCTCTGTGGATGAAGAATGTGATCAAGGTGAACATGATCGTGTGGATGGCGGCATTGGTACATATGCCATTGGCTCTGTGGATGAAGAATGCGATCAAGGTGAACATGATCGTGTGGATGGCGGCCTTGGTACATATGCCATTGGCTCTGTGGATGAAGATTGTGGTCAAGGTGAACATGATCGTGTGGATGGCTGCCTTGGTACATATGCCATTGGCTCTGTGGATGAAGAATGTGATCAAGGTGAACATGATCGTGTGGATGGCGGCCTTGGTACATATGCCATTGGCTCTGTGGATGAAGAATGTGATCAAGGTGAACATGATCGTGTGGATGGCTGCCTTGGTACATATGCCATTGGCTCTGTGGATGAAGAATGTGATCAAGGTGAACATGATCGTGTGGATGGCGGCCTTGGTACATATGCCATTTGCTCTGTGGATGAAGAATGTGATCAAGGTGAACATGATCGTGTGGATGGCTGCCTTGGTACATATGCCATTGGCTCTGTGGATGAAGAATGTGATCAAGGTGAACATGATCGTGTGGATGGCGGCCTTGGTACATATGCCATTGGCTCTGTGGATGAAGAATGTGATCAAGGTGAACATTATCGTGTGGATGGCTGCCTTGGTACATATGCCATTGGCTCTGTGGATGAAGAATGTGATCAAGGTGAACATGATCGTGTGGATGGCGGCCTTGGTACATATGCCATTGGCTCTGTGGATGAAGAATGTGATCAAGGTGAACATGATCGTGTGGATGGCGGCCTTGGTACATATGCCATTGGCTCTGTGGATGAAGAATGTGATCAAGGTGAACATGATCGTGTGGATGGCTGCCTTGGTACATATGCCATTGGCTCTGTGGATGAAGAATGTGATCAAGGTGAACATTATCGTGTGGATGGCTGCCTTGGTACATATGCCATTGGCTCTGTGGATGAAGAATGTGATCAAGGTGAACATGATCGTGTGGATGGCGGCCTTGGTACATATGCCATTGGCTCTGTGGATGAAGAATGTGATCAAGGTGAACATGATCGTGTGGATGGCGGCCTTGGTACATATGCCATTGGCTCTGTGGATGAAGAATGTGATCAAGGTGAACATGATCGTGTGGATGGCTGCCTTGGTACATATGCCATTGGCTCTGTGGATGAAGAATGTGATCAAGGTGAACATGATCGTGTGGATGGCGGCCTTGGTACATATGCCATTGGCTCTGTGGATGAAGAATGTGATCAAGGTGAACATGGTCGTGTGGATGGCTGCCTTGGTACATATGCCATTGGCTCTGTGGATGAAGAATGTGATCAAGGTGAACATGATCGTGTGGATGGCGGCCTTGGTACATATGCCATTGGCTCTGTGGATGAAGAATGTGATCAAGGTGAACATGATCGTGTGGATGGCTGCCTTGGTACATATGCCATTGGCTCTGTGGATGAAGAATGTGATCAAGGTGAACATGATCGTGTGGATGGCGGCCTTGGTACATATGCCATTGGCTCTGTGGATGAAGAATGTGATCAAGGTGAACATGATCGTGTGGATGGCTGCCTTGGTACATATGCCATTGGCTCTGTGGATGAAGAATGTGATCAAGGTGAACATGATCGTGTGGATGGCGGCCTTGGTACATATGCCATTGGCTCTGTGGATGAAGAATGTGATCAAGGTGAACATGATCGTGTGGATGGCTGCCTTGGTACATATGCCATTGGCTCTGTGGATGAAGAATGTGATCAAGGTGAACATGATCGTGTGGATGGCGGCCTTGGTACATATGCCATTGGCTCTGTGGATGAAGAATGTGATCAAGGTGAACATGATCGTGTGGATGGCTGCCTTTGTACATATGCCATTGGCTCTGTGGATGAAGAATGTGATCAAGGTGAACATGATCGTGTGGATGGCGGCATTGGTACATATGCCATTGGCTCTGTGGATGAAGAATGTGATCAAGGTGAACATGATCGTGTGGATGGCGGCCTTGGTACATATGCCATTGGCTCTGTGGATGAAGAATGTGATCAAGGTGAACATGATCGTGTGGATGGCGGCCTTGGTACATATGCCATTGGCTCTGTGGATGAAGAATGTGATCAAGGTGAACATGATCGTGTGGATGGCGGCATTGGTACATATGCCATTGGCTCTGTGGATGAAGAATGTGATCAAGGTGAACATGATCGTGTGGATGGCGGCCTTGGTACATATGCCATTGGCTCTGTGGATGAAGAATGTGATCAAGGTGAACAT